CCATTCGCAAGAAAGAATTGTTGAGATGTAGCCGAGGGTTAATGGGAATGGTAAGCGTGTGTTTATGTACGTATGTATGTTGAACCAGTTTAAGTCATAACTGGCTGTGATGTTTCCATCCTACCTGCCGATGTTAGTAGTTATTTTCGACTCTGGTGTTACATTAACAGGTTGAATGTCTCACTAACACAGCCACCATTGCTCGTTTTCCTCGATGTGGCGCTGCGATCGAACATTGACATGCTAATCTCTGACAAGACAATGGCCACCTCTGCAGCTTCGTCGTCGTGGAGGTAGCTCTCCAATTTACCAGATCTTACATTGACATGCAAATTTCATCAATAGCTCGCCCACTACGCTTATGACCCTTGGGCGACACCCATCTCAAACCTTTATAACAGCCTGCCTCAGCAGCTCTCCCGCAATTTTTCACCTGATGACGATTGCTTGTGTTGTGATCGAAAAGTCGTGATATTTTTATTATTATTTTCTATCTACGTGGCTTTACCGAAAGACCCAAAAAATACATGACCTGTATTTGGAAGAATAATACATTTAAGGGACTACATAATTTTTTTATATTGCATTTGTTATTAACATCCCTTTATGAAAGAACTTTGTACAGGAGGAAAAGGTAATATTTTCTTTTAACCGAATACATTTACTTATGTTCTAAGGCAGCGTGAATGACAAACATGGTGATTTTCTTGTGTCCACATTTGGAAGTTGGTGAGTGTAACTCCTGCCTGGTGCCCATCTTTCATCTACAAAAGCACTGCTTTGTGGGAAGACAACAGTGGTGGTTCTGTGATGCGACTGGTGATGATTATGAATATAAGTGCAACGCTTTCCCAAAAAATAGAGCACTTGTTAAATTGTAAATGAGGCATGCAAACAGACCGTATTTAATTTAAATGCAGTCGGTGTATGCTTGACCTCTGGGCCCACTGCTCTTCCTGCCTCTTCTCCACCCCTCCCAGCTCCTCCCAACCCAACCCATGTATACCGTGTGTGTGTCGTGTGCCTGTGTTTGTGCATGTGTGGGGATCGGTAGTGTAGCGGATCGCGAGCTGCGCTATGAACCCTGCGAGTTCGATTCCCGCTCACGGCCGACACCAGTGAAAATTATTTTAACCGATTCTGGCCCTCCGCTTGGTCGATTTATCCTCAAATTAAAGTACCATGTGCAGTGTGTAAACATCGCCACTGGGGAGACAAAGGTGGTCGGGCGTGGTGCCAGCCACCCACCCTCGTATGCCGTGCCGGCCTTCATAGGTGCTCGCTAAAAGCACTTGCCCCAACAGTCTGTTAAGGCTATATGGGGAATCTTTGTCTTTTTGTTTGTGCCTGTGTTTTTAGTTGGACTGGTGCCGATAGGGCACTTACGGGAAGTGTGCCGCTTCAGATACCAGGCTGTATCGGTCGTGTGTGTCGAGCCGCCTTCTGTGTCCCATTTGCGTAACATTTGACGTTGAATTTTCACTCCCGTCGCTTTATCTGGTGTGGCCTGAGGGTGGATCGGGCATGGGCCTCTTGCTTCGGGATAAGCGTGAGAGAGAAACGGAGAGTTTTCATTTGCACAAATGCGCCTGCTGATTCTTAACGATTAAAGAGTTCCAGGATTAGTAAACTTGAATTCTGGATCAGCGGGCACTTTCTGCAACATTCTGGTGTATACTTAGAGGCATAGCATTTGCCTTATTAGTCTTACTCAGTAAGAGATTGCACTGATCACTAACATCGCTATTATTAAGCAAATCAATATATCACATGGTGCTGTTTACATTCAAATATGGACCTCGGAATGATGCAATGGAAGGGGCCATAACGGCTTTAAAGAAGCTACCAAAAGTGGCCGCGTCTGATCAATCAACCTCATTGTTCTTACAAACCTAACTCTCTGATGACATCGTCGACATCATCAACAGCCATGATCTATCCACTGCTGGATCAAGACCTCCCTTATGTCATTGCCATTCCTCCTGGTTGTCGTAACGCCTCTTGCTCCTCTCATCTGAATGGGAGAATAACACGCTCCGCATTACACTTCCATTTCATCATCAGCGTTGCCCATCGTGCGTTACTCCTGCGAGTGATGTGTCCTGCCCAAGCCCACTTACTCCTTTTAGCAGTCAGTATGATTGACTGCTGTTCCTGATTTAATTTGTCTCCCGATTCCTATGTTCCCGTCTCTCGGCGTGCAGTAGTTTTCAGCTTTTGTTTCATTTCCTGTGTCAGTGTCCATATATCACAGCAGAGTAAATATATATAGGGTCATTCATGAAGGCAGACCGAGGTCGAAATTATGAAATACATTTGCAATCAAGAGCAAGTTGAAGTGATGTCTAAAAAAAAGTGAATTTGACGATGAAAAGCGACATAGGAGCATTCATTAACGGGAAACATATCAATCAGTGCGGATTACCCGCTACAGATTCCTGATGTGTAATTCACGTATGGCTATACAGCCAGAGAAGGCTGAAGCCAGATCACTGGGGGAGATATTGTGCGTAACCTGCCTTGGGTGGCTCCCTTGTTAATGTTTGTCAATCGATCAATCAAATCAATCCTAATGTATGTATGCTGAACTTCTTTTGCACCGTACGTAGCTAACCTGATTGGAAGCAAGTTGAGAGCCACTCACTATGCTTTTTTTATATCACAGTTGATGAGCACAGGCCCAAAGGCCCCAAATTCCAAGCGATCAGAAAGCAAGCAACACAACTAAATTTGTAATAGATGAGAGTTGATAACGTTTCTTGAATTGATCAAGGTTATTTATACTTGTCGCATGTGCTGGATCTGATGAATCCCTTGTCCCGGGCGTCAAAGTCACATGTCCATACACTTGTCTGACTGTCGAAAGCACGCACAACCTCGCTGATGTTGCTGAACATGAGTCGAGCAATAACCAGCCGATGGGAATCTCTTTTAAAGGAAGACACTGCCCAAGAAACAAACAGCCCTTACCATTTATAAGCGCACTGAGGCTGTGTGACCTACACGAGTTTCTATATTTATTTTTTGTGAGAACAAAAAAAACTGTGTCATGTCATGGTCAGGCGCAGCAGTGTGATCCTTGATGTTGTGACGTCACTCCGTCGACAATTTATTGAAGTGAATAGAAGCGTGGTCTTAACTATAAACTTTAATTTTCTCATTCGTGTACGTTCGAACACGCAGCCAACCAAGCCCAGGTAGTTGATAAAGAGTCTGTAAGATGAGGCTTCATTGCTTGCTTATTTCATTAATAATGCTGGGTGATACAGGCATTCTTAGTGCAGTATTACCTTATCAATCGCGGGGGTTACGTTCCTGGAAAATTCCGTGTTGGGAAAAAAATGCTTTCGACAAATAATAGGCCTTATGGGAAAAAGTGGGTTACGTTCCTCGGTCCAACATTATCACCCTTTGCCTCTATGTTTGACTAATTCTACATGATTTTCCCCCAGTTGGTGTCACGTAAAAATAAAAAACAGACGCACAATACGTGTCTAGAATAAAATAAAATATATCAAGACGTAAAATTTATTTTAAAAAGTGACATTCAACATTTTTACTGATGATGAACGATGGTGGGGGTGTTGGAGAGGGCTGGTGACGCTTGGAGCGAGCCTGAGTAAGAGTGTTGGGGGGGGGAAGATGGAGACAAGATATCCATCCGCAGCGTCTGCTGTACTGTACAATCGTACAGTGTACTACTTATACTCTTTGGTTCTATGTGACTTTACCGAAATATGGATTCCTGCAGTCACGAAAGCTTCAAATCTGGAGTGTACTACTTGTCAACGTGGAGATGAGAATCGTAGCGTCTAACCGCCTAGAGCCGAAATATCACACCCACGTTCCGGTGAACATACCTCAATAATTAAACCGTGTATAGCCGAAACACACCTTCTCTAAAACTGCGTTGGGCAAGGTATGACTGTACCATATATCTAGATATCTACTCCATTACATTGCATTAACTGTCCTGCATAGGGATGTTCGATTCCACATTGAGATGTTTTGCCCAGTGTTGAGATGTTTTGCCCAGCGTTGAGATCTTCGGCCCAGCGTTGAGATGTCTGTTACAGCGTTGAGATGTCTGTTACAACGTTGAGATGTTTGGCTCAATGTTGAGATGTTTGGCTCAACGTTGAGATGTTGGCTTAGCGTTGAGATGTTTGTTACAGCGTTGAGATCTTTGTTACAGCATGGAGATGTTTGGCCCAGCGTTGAGATCTTTGTTACAGCGTTGAGATTTTTGTTACAGCGTTGAGATGTTTGTTACAGCGTTGAGATGTTTGGCCCAGTGTTGAGATGTTTTGCCCAGCGTTGAGATCTTTGGCCCAGCGTTGAGATGTTTGGCCCAGCGTTGAGATGTCTGTTACAGCGTTGAGATGTTTGGCTCAGCGTTGAGATGTTTGGCCCAGCGGTAAGATGTTTGTTACAACGTTGAGATGTTTGGCTCAATGTTGAGATGTTTGGCTCAACGTTGAGATGTTTGGCTCAGCGTTGAGATGTTTGTTACAGCGTTGAGATCTTTGTTACAGCATGGAGATGTTTGGCCCAGCGTTGAGATCTTTGTTACAGCGTTGAGATTTTTGTTACAGCGTTGAGATGTTTGTTACAGCATTGAGATGTTTGGCCCAGTGTTGAGATGTTTTGCCCAGCGTTGAGATCTTTGGCCCAGCGTTGAGATGTTTGGCCCAGCGTTGAGATGTCTGTTACAGCGTTGAGATGTTTGGCTCAGCGTTGAGATGTTTGGCCCAGCGGTGAGATCTTTGGCCCAGCGTTGAGATGTTTGGCCCAGCGTTGAGATGTCTGTTACAGCGTTGAGATGTTTGGCTCAGCATTGAGATGTCTGGCTCAGCGTTGAGATGTTTGGCCCAGCGGTGAGATGTTTGGTACAACGTTGAGATGTTTAGTCCTGCGTTAAAATAAATGCAACCTGCAGGGGTCACCCAGGAGGGACGTTAGCCTCCGCACTGACTTGGTGGATTCCCTTTTCTCCGCAGTACTTGGACGTCGACCGCAATATCTTGCAGAAGATTAAGAAAGCCGTGAAAGCCATCAACGCGTCCGGACTGGGTGAGTCGAGCGGCTTCCACCACGCATGGTGTACACGACGGCCAACCTGAAACGAAGAATCAATTCGACTATTAAAATCAGTTTTTATTCATAAGGGGGCACCGTAAGTCTCATAAATGTCAATACAATTTTAGTGAAACTTTAGTAACGTTAAATATGAACATTAATGCCTCTAATGTATTTGCTGTTTAAGCCAATTACTTACATTGTGAACATTTATTGAAGTAAATTGTACCAATTTGCTGACCCAATTGAAAAATGGCAAAATAGATCAAAGGGTTGCCCAGCATACCCACTGGAGGCAAAAGGGCTATTTGTAAATATACAGCTTCCATATTGATAATGAAACACATCCGGGTATAAATGCGTGTTGGAACTCTTTACATAATCCATACTTATGGATCTTATTTTATATATAGATTTATATAGGACCATTTCCAAGGCGCTTTCGGGCAATTATAAATAATATTTAAAATGAGAATGGTTTGAGATGGACAATAGCCGTATTAAAAGTGGTGGTATCGTTTTAGTGACAGTAGCACAGACGGGAGTCGTTAAGGAGGGGTTGCTGTAGGCCTGGTCGTAGCTGGGTTAAGGGGTGGGGGGTGATGGAAAGCTGAGAGGCGGAGAGGCATCGAGGCATCGCATTGGGAAGACGAAGAGGGTCCGCCAGGGGTGGGTGCCCGGCGGTGGAAGGGGGAATACCGCAAGCAGCATTTCTCTAACTTCATTCGCATTCTCTCGTCCCCACCTCCTCCTGTCCCCTCTGACCCCGTCAGCCCACGTGGACAGCGAGGATGCTCTGTCACAGGCTCTGGACAAGTTTGGGAATACGTTTCTGGAGCGGAACGAGATCGATCTGGGCGAGGCGTTCACGAACGTCGCCTCGTGTACCAAAGAGATCGCCGCCGTCCTCAAGAACATGGTGCGCAGGCTCGGGCCCACTCCCACGCGCCGCCGTGTGGCTGCCGTGTCCTCCCCCCCGCCTCCGCCTCCGCCGTTCCCCCTGATTGCTGCTCGTTCGGCCGCTATAGTCGGCCGCCTTTCAGTCGGCCACATCGCGATTGTGCCATTCCGTCAATTTAAATCGATGCTTATGCGTGCATTGAATTTGCTCCAATTAATTTACAACGAAAAGAATGAAACGTGCGAGTCGAGTAACTAAAGCGACGCTTGTGTGGAAATCAGTGTCTGACTCGATGGGTAATGTGAACCCTGATTTGTACAATATGTCTACTCCAGTAGAAGTTTCGTGTCATTGTTTTACTGCATCACTGCCACTCTGCGAGTCCTGGTCTGCATTTCATCACTGGATGAGCTCATGCATAGAGTTTTTGCAAACTACGTCATCTCAACCTCATGAATCAATTTTTTTTTATTTCCAAGTATGGAAAAGAAATATTCGAAGCACAAGAGTTTCAGTTGGGTCATGAAAACCCTGCTTTACAGCCACCTGCACATATATAATAAAATAAGGCTATCAAAGACTATTGTATACGTTTGGTCTCTGGCCTTGGCATTCAGTCAAGAATTTGTTAACGAGCATGAGAAACTAGGTCTGCAAACTCCAATGGAGTTAAACAATTGAACTCTAAAATACTCTTGCGTGAACATTAATGTCCGTAATTTATCTGTTCATAATAGCGCTACGTGTTGTGTTGCGAAACAGTTATTAAAGTCTCAGAATTTATTTTCCTTCAATTTAAAATAAATTGTATTAACTACTTTAGAAGTAATACTTCACAACACCCAACTTTGTTACTTTACAGTAAAACAGGTTTCTGAATAAAAATGTGCTAATTATTTTATGAGTTTAAATCGTTTTTGGGGAGTTGGCAATGATTCCCAAAATCCAGTTTTTACCAAGGTACAGGAACCTCCTTTAGAAGTATCCCACTGTACAATCTTTCGCTCTTAAGAAGAGCCATTGCCCAACACTTTGGCTTGTCGTGGAGTGTTTTGAACACTTTCCAACTAAGGTTTAAATTGTAAATGCGTCAGCTCTATCTTGCCCATCTGCCTGTAAGTCAGGCACGATAATAGGAACACGACTTTAGAATAACGTCATTAAGAAAGACGCTTGAAGGGCCTGCCATCTGAAGCGCACCCTTCCCAGTAAATCCTCTGTCCAAGCCCCCGTCGTCGCATCGTGGCCCACGGACGCCCTGCCTCCTACGCGACTTCCACGAGCGCCACCGTCGCTATCCATAATTAAATACTCCCAAGGACAAGCGCGTGCTAGAAGGCGTTACATAATCCACGCACGTGCACGACGTCTTATCTCACCGCCCATAGAGCGAGAGGCCAGGAGGCCGGCTCTCCACGAGCTCAACAGGGACCCTGGTCACCCTGGGTTGTTATTGTTCCGCAGATCTGCAACATGACCAACATCTTGGTGTTTCCGCTCGAGTCCGTGCTCAAGGGTGACTTCAAGGAAGTGAAAGGGGTGAGAGACGCTGGACGCATGCGGGCACCATTTATTGGACGCGGGCGAGTTGTATCAATAATGGTTTGGGCGGCGCGCTCACTAATGACTTGCCGATTGCACAGTAAGGGGCCATCCATTTAGTACATACGCAAAAATCTGTCAACTTGACCCCTCCCCCCCCCCCTCCCTGTATGCACGTGTACTTTTTACACCCCCCCCCCCCCCACCTGCTTTACGTACGCTTGACGCAACCCCCCACCGAAACCTATAAAACGGCCGATATTTAATCCACGCAGAAACGATCAAGGATGAATAATATTAACGTGTTAAAGGAAACAGATAGTCTACCGCCGGCTGCATTAAACAATTAAGTTGCGTAGCCTTTGCCACTTATTGTTCTGAGCTGCGTGATAGCTGCAGTCAGGGGCACGGTGGCACACGAGTGACACCTCTCCCAGAGTCCCACTTCTCCCGGCAGGACTTGTTGTCTGACAGCTGAAGAAACTGAACTGTGGCTCATTTGAAGGCCAATGCAGACAAATTATTATAGAGGCTTCACACCTCCCCCCCCTGTTTCCTATGCGTACGGACATTGTCAGTAGACCCCCCATACGCAAGCGTACGCATTCGAGTTAACCCCCCCTCACCCTCCATGCGTACGTACTAAATGGATGGCCCCTAATGGACCGGTGAGGCTAATGGATGATCCAATGGTGCTGTACTGACAGATTACTAATAAGTTACTTGTGTCAGCGTATCTCAAATGCAACGCGGCACAAAAATGCCCATTTCCACTCGTGATTAGCTGGTGCGATTGTCCAATGAAAGTGTTGGTAAAAGCAACAAAGGTGGACTGTTTGCCGGGTGAGAGGGACTGCCATTAATCAAATTATGGTCTAATGACTGCAGACAGCTCAAATGCAGTGCAGTAACAAGAATTGCAGTGGTAAAGTAGCATGGCTCACTGTCGTAAAATTACAAGTTCAAGTCCCGGTCGTAGGGTGACTTAGACCTTGACTTACCTCGGGTCAATAATCTTTGCGACCACTTTTATGGAAAGTGGCCGGTTTATTATATGGATTCACTCTTTTCCGAAATCTGAAAGTGAAATTTCCCAAATCTCAAAACTGTAAACAGGATATGAGGGGCCACTCCAAACTCATTTGAGTGAGAAACCACTTCGGATTTTTGTTATTTTTTCAAAGCACTTTTTTTACATCCATATTTTTGTTATTTCGTTAAATTAGTTTTCGCATCAAATATACACATCATGTAAAAGATAGTAACAACACCCGCAGCTCGTTTGTCTGTACGGTGTTTTGTAACGCACCCAGTGGCTCCAAGGCCTAGACACGAGTCTAAAATAGCGTGGGACTGCGCCGCTTGCCAACACGGGCTGTAAACAAGATAATGCATCTCCACCGTGCATCCTGGCCAGACATAAATACACATGTGCTTGCACAGTTTTTTTTTTTGTAAGAAACAGAATTTTAAGCTTTACTTCAATGGTAATGATTTTCACGGAGCCCCATTATGTAGTTTACATTTCAAAATATATGTATCCTACATTATTTCCCCGGCCATGATTCATCCGAGCTCATCGAGATAACAGGGCTTTTAATTGTGAAATTAAAATAAAAATTCCGGGTAAATGGCAGGCAACCATGGTGGCCGCTCATCCAGGCACTATCCAGGCTCAACCTGCCTAGTTTCCGAGGGCTGACAAGATGGGTGCATTTCGGGCACTTTGATAATAATAGGCTGGTTGCTGTTGGCGGCTGCAGAGCTGTATGTTGAACTTCTTTCGCAGCAGATTGACAAAAGGGTTGTTCGTTTTACAACGCCAAGCACTGCCCACCTATTGTTTGAGCATTGACTTTTGACCTGACTTACATTGACCCCTCCGTGTACTGCCGCAGGGGGGAGAAGACGTAGGATGCTGCGTCTACGTGTAGCTATCCACACGAGGTGGGCGAGTCACATGGCGGCTAACAGCCCTTGCCCCGAGTAGTCAGTAAGGCGTACAACTATGGTTGTGTCTGTGCGCCTTTTCCTCTGCTGGTGTGTGCAGGAACTAAAGAAGCCGTTTGACAAGGCTTGGAAAGACTACGAGACGAAATTGTGAGTGCGGTCGTCTGGTTTCGATGTGGTCAGATTAGTACATTGTTGTTTATTCATCACATTCTATAGTTTTGCTATTTATTCTGGAGCTAAATCGATTGGTTACCTTTTAAATATATATAAAACCAGTTAAGAGCCCATTCAGATCGGAATTATATTTTCATAGCGAGACATGGGTGTAAATACCAACCTGGTTTAGGCCATGTGTCCGTGTTCAGTTCAGTTTCCCGAATTATCCCAGGCCATCTATAACGAGATAATCAGGCCACACAAGCTGTTGTGTTGTCACGGGTTTTTTATCACTACCACAAACAAATTTATTATTTCACACATGTCTGTTTTTTTTTTGCTTAAAAAAAATCACTATTTTCAGTTTGCATTAACTACACCCATGTATATTGATAATTTTTTTAATTTACCAAATATGAAGCACTTCGCCACTGAATCTCGCCTAAGAGTTTACCTAGCCCAGGGGTTGGCATCCTGTGGCTCCGAAGCCGCATGCGGCTCTTTAAGGACTGCTCGCGACGTTATTTAATAAGGAGCACCGTCACGTATTCACATGCATTGCAGCTCTTCAAAATATGGAGCTTTTTACCGAATTAGAAAAAAAATGTGTCGTTTTATTTGCCGACCCCTGACCTCGCCTATTGTCAGTGTTGTTTATGGGTGACAAATTGTGACTGTTGTTGTTGCTGCGTGTGTTTTTGTGTTGTATTTGTACGTGAACCCGGCGACACGAGTTCACTTCTCACTCACGGCCAACACCAGTGACGATCATCTGAACTGGTCCTGGGCCCTGCTGTAGTTCGGCTCAACCTCAAATGAGTACTTAGTTTGATCTTTAAACATCGCCACTCGGGAGACAAAGGCAGTCGGGCATGATTCTGGCCACCCACCCACCTCGTGTGCCGTACTGGCCGTCATAGATGTTACTCGCGAACAGCACTTGCCCCAACAGTCTGTTGAGGCTTCACGGGGCGGGGGGGGGGGGGTGTCGATCATTCGTGTGTTGTCAATGTGCGGATCGTGTACGTGTTCCGTTCCCGTAGCTTGAAAATTGAGAAGGAGAAGCGCGAGCAGGCCCGGCAGCACGGCATGATCCGCAACGAGATCACGGGCGCCGAGATCGCCGAGGACCTGGAGAAGGAGCGCCGCATGTTCCAGCTGCAGATGTGCGAGGTATCCGTTCGCCCGTCCAGGGGTCTCTCCTGCCCTTCTCCCGTTCGCTTGGTTCCTTAACGAGCTCCTGCACCCGGTCGTGAGACTGCGTCCGGCCTCTGTTTGTTGTGTGGATTCTGGCTGCTACGGCTTCGAGACCGGGCCCATGGCAGGTTTAGCGAGCGGTGGGCAGCGCTCCTCAGAACTGCAAAGCCGGAGTGTTTGGCTGAAATAGCAACTTATAACAAAAATAATATTTTCATTGTTGTTGACATTTTTTCCCCAGGTGTGTAGAGTCTGCCTTCCTAATTCTAGATTTGAAGTTTTCGTGACTGCAAGGATTCATACTTTTTGAGTTTTTTCGGTAAAGTCACGTAGGTAAAAAATTTAAATCAATTAAATCGCGACGTTTCGGGCGCAACACAAGCGTCCTTCTTCAGGTGGGGACAACTTAGCAAAAGCACACCGCTTAAGTGTGTCTCAGAGACACACGAAAGCACACCGCTTAAGTGCCCAAAACGTCGTGATTTTATTTATTTATTTTACCTGTCTGCCTTCCTAGTTCTCTTTCTCCACCCATTTCTGTCCTGGGCCATCTCCACATCCACTCTATAGTCCTTCATACCCTGGCTCTCACCCACTTCCAACAACCTCTCTCTCGGACTACCTCTCGGCCTCTCTCCGAGTGCTTCCATGTCCACCACCTTTCTTCCGACGTGGTGTTCTTTCTTCCTAAGACATATCCTAGCCATCTGAAGGAACTTACAATAATAATAATGATAATGATGACAGTAATTCCCTTTACTTCCCACAGGAGCCTTACTTAAGTTGCAGAACCCTTTTTCAACAGGATTCTGCTTTGGAACGTTTGGCATTTTCCATAATTGAGTGTTTGGCTTTATGTGGGAGACAACCAGAATAACAAAATAACCCGTGCATACGTTCAATGCTTTATGCAGACAGTTTACAAAATCCATTGTTGTGAGGCCTCTCCTTGCCAACATGGAGCCCTCCCCTACATCACCTCTTATTCCCGGGCAGTCTTCCACCAATGTACTAAGAAGACTCGAGTTTGCTTAAAATTCCAAGATCTGCTGAGATTACGGTTATTAGGGTGATTTGGCCGGGGCAACTTCACAGGTTGTGAAACTACGAGTAATGGAACCGGCCGGTCCAGTCTACATACCACGGTGATGGTGTTGTACGTGTGCTGCCCATTGATTTTTGGGCGCTGTGACCCGTCACTTATGTTGCATCGTGAGCGCTGCGATGAAGATGAACGGTGGCGTCCTTCCTCCTGCCCCCTCCGCAAACTGCGACAGCGGACTTGGTTGTTTGTGTCTTGCAGCAGCTGATTGGCATTCAGAGTAACCGCGAGAACACTTAAAAATAGTTTTTCCGAGGAAGAACAATGCATGGGGAATGCGGTGGTTTTAGCCGTTGGTACTGCAGCAGAATAGATTTGGGCAGACAAGGGGGGGCGGGGGGAGCATGAGCGGGTTATAGTTGGCAGAGTTTGGCATTCAGCCCACGCTGCTCACATCAATACGGATCAAGAATCAGTGCCCTGCACACATTCACTCCTCTGGGAGACAGATTCGGAATAGTACAAGAACAAACTAGGCACAACAAACCAGCCATGCACCCTCACCTACAGCCATGCGTGTGATGTTTTATTATTATCGAACACTCCAACTAAGGTTCAAATTGGTAATGGATTTCCTCTGTCCGTTTATCTGTATGTATGTGATGTGGGTCATGATAACTCTGTTAAAGAACATCCAATAAAAATTTATAAATGTATTTAAAATATTCTTGCTGTTATGGATTTACACTATTTAAAACCAGGCAAATTGCTAAAAGGAGTTAACTAATGCTTGGTGATGAATAAATAAAAAAACAGCAGTAAAAGGTCAGCCTTTTTGGCCAAGACAAAGACACCACGCCGTCGGCGAGCTTGCCTACCCATGACGTAATTGTGTCATGTCACCTCGTGATGTGTCATGCCGTGTAATGTCATCTCATTTTGCGACTCGCAAGCTAACATTTTGGTTGTTAAACGCACGTTTTGAAAGCATAATAGAATCCATGCATGTGCATGAATTTCCTGCCTTGTTTTTGTAGTGATCATCTCTGCGGTGCCTGCTGAAGGCTTTGTTTATTCTGAGCGTACGGAAGATATTCAACAAATCTCCTTCACATATTTTAAATTACGTCAGGTTGTTTGTTACATATCCGATCTTAGGCTTTGATCCAAAATTTAGTGTACAGCCTGTTTGTGATTGCGTGATATTCGTATCTTATTCTCTTGTATAAATTTTTTTTACCTTTAATGCTTTTGTAATTGCTTTTCAAACTCGTGACTGCCTGCCAGGTTGACTTGCCTAGTTGATACAAACAAGCGTAGTTGATACAAACACTCTTCTCCCTCAACACCCCACTCTGCCCCTCTTTGCCACGAGGAGGTTTTTGGCAACAGAAGATGGCACTAAGCCATCAAAATGATAGTGCCAGAGAGTGACTGTGTGTGTGAGTGTGTGTTGAAGCTATCACTTTTTCACTACTATATGACATTACTTACAGATCAGCTACAAATGAAACACTGAACAGACGTTACCCGCTCTATCGTTCTGCTGTTCGATTTGCCCTGGATGGACCATACAGGACCCACTTTTGTGACCTTTATTTAAATTATAATCCCATATCACTCGCTGCAAGAAGACATTTACATTGGACCCTGTTTATCCTTAAAATATTTTTTGGGAAAATCTACTATTTACTTTGTGCATTCATTAACACCATTGTCAAATCCAACAAACCTGAGATATCCATCTCATTGCCCTTTAACTATCCCTGGAGCGAGAATTGGATGGGATGACAAAGCTTTTGCCATTGCAACACCAACGTTTTAGAACAACCTCGTTTCTTCTCTAAGCTATTGAATCTTCATTATAAAAAATATCCTTAAACAGAAGACCAGTGGCAGACACAGCCACATTTGAAAATGTGATTTTAAACTGTGAACCTTACCCATGTATGGATAGTTCAAATATAAAGTGCATTCTAGTCGAGGGACTGTATTGTCTTGGTGGTGTCTTGGATTGTTGTTGTTGTTTTGCTGCCTTGCCTAAGCTTACATTTAGTCTTGACAAATCTGCAGGAATGTACGTACGGTTGCGATTTGTACATCCATGCTATATCTATGTTTATTTCTTACTTATTCTTGGGTCTTTCCCTAAAGTCACGTAGATAGATTCAAAGAAATTAACAAAACAACGATGACGTTTCCATCGCAACAAAAGTGATCGTCTTTCTTTTCCTGAAGACGACCGCTTGTGTTGCGATGATCGAAACGTCGTAGTTTTTTCTTATTTTTTGTTATTTTCTTTGAACCTATCTACGTGACTTTACCGAAAGACCCAAGAATATGAATTCCTGCAGTCACGAAAGCTTTAAGTCAAGATTTATTTCTTACTTTATAAACTTTTCTCTGTCTTACTCTTGTATCCTGTATTGTATTTTTTTGTTGATGTAACTTGTCGGCCTGCTTCTACTGGACATCTGTGCAAACAGCTTCATAGCTCATCAGATTCTTCCAGGATAAATAATCAGATTCTTAAGTGAATCTGGGAATGCTGTTATCGTGGTTAATCCACTGCACTACAAGCCCAGCTACCCGAGTTCGATTCCCAACCATGCCTAATGTCAGTGGCGAGCGTGATCGGAACTTGCCCCGGGCCTCCCAAAGGTCGACTGTCTTGAGTGAGTGCCTGGTGCGCTGTGTAAACATCAGCACCGGAGAGACAAAGCGGGGCTAGGCGTGGTGCTTGCTGACAGGACTTGCCCTCAGCAGTCTATGTAGACTGCATAGGTAATTTAATGTGTGAATAAGTGAGTGTACAGCTTGGGAACATACATTGGTAAAGTGCTCATTCGCTGGCCATCAACATTTGCCCTCCCATCTATGTATTCGATATCTTCTAGATTTGAAGCTTTCGTGACTGCAAGACATTCATTTTCTTAGGTTTTTTTCGGTAAAGTCACGTAGGTAAAAAATTTAAATTCATAAAAGTAAAATAAAAAATAAAATAAAAATCACGACGTTTCGGAGGCAACACAAGCCTCCGTCTTCAGGTGGAACCGTCACAGCACGATTGCTGTATCAAGTGAGAGAAATTCCAAGAAAATAGTCCTGTTTACTTTTATTAATTTACATTTTTTTACCTACGTGACTTTACCGAAAAAACCTAAGAATATGTATTCGATATCCTCCAGATGCTTCGGTTTACTCCCACATGCAAAAAACTCAATAAAGAATTGGCTTTAGAATAGGATGTACGTAACGATTTTCTGAGAGTCGGGTCACGCTTTCTTATATTACTTATTCAGCGTGGCGGTCAACGTTCTGAAAGCATCTGCGTGAAAGTTTATCTGAAACGCCGATGTGCTAATGTGCTGAAAATAACTATAAATCGTGGCCTAATGCATGAGTTAGAGTGCTCAGTTTGGCTGGACGAGGTTTCACAGACGCGCGTGATCACCTCGGGACAACGATTTACATTTATAGTGCGTTTAAATGCCCCAGCATCTCAGAGCACCTTTAGTCTCGTCTCAACGTCACCATTGGCCTGCGGCAGTCGAGCCTTGGGGGATCCCACAACTCATTTCTGCACCCTCTCCGCGTTCTCTCTGCTTGTGATGGTGCAGTATCTCATCAAGGTCAACGACATCAACACCAAGAAGGGCGTGGATATCATGTACAGCTTCATCTTGTATTTCCAAACGCAGTACACGTGAGTGGCCCAGTACACGCACAGAGATGCACACACACATGCTAACATTTACACTTGTACACAATGACAAACACCATTTTGCCATACACTGTTGAGGCAGATGATTTCTGCTAATACTGTTGAAACGGTCATTTCCCCTCTCATGAAGTTGCGTGTCCTGTCAGCACTGCGTGCCTCGTCACTCACGCTGCCTACTCTCTGTTTGGTATCACAGCTTTTTTCAAGATGGTCTCAAGATAATGGACAAATTCAAGATGTGCATCGACAAGGCCAAAACTGTGCTGGAATCCGTACGTACAGCAACAAAAACAAGTCGTCAAAATGCGACCGCATCTCACGATTCAGTGTCCTCTATCGTGGCAAAGTTTGTTTTTGCCCCGATTATCTTTTTTACTTCATTGCTGTATTTTATTTTATTTGTTATTTTTCCGTTTGTTATGTTGGTGACCCCAGGTCACTCTTGGAAATGAGATACATCCGGGCATCTTGAGTTCTTACCACCTGGTTATACAAATACATTTGACTCGACAAAACTTATTGACTCAGGAAAGCTTCACTGAGGTTCACAGAGAGTGCCCACTACAATGCATAATCAAGGTTTTTGGGTCAGATGGCGTTATTTATAAATGTGTCGTAACCCTCCACCACCCGACATGGCCAAACAGTAAAAAATGTTTCACGTTTTTCAAAGGACAAAATAATTCACTTCTTTAGCCCACCGGTGTGTTGAAGAGAGAATCAACAGCATTTAAATATGTGAGTAGTCCGACGTTTCGCTGATAATTACAATCAGCTTCATCGGGCAAGAATGGTGAAGCTCTCCTGTTGCTTCCGGTCTTAAATAGAGCAGCAACATCAGGGTGACGTCATCATTCAATTCAGTTCAATCTGGTGCAGTGATTGGAGGCAAAAAGCGGGAGGGTATTGTAATTATATAGATTGGTAATTAATCAATTGTTATTCATTGGTATTTGTTTCCCTTATAAGAAATTGTAATTGTATTTATTTAATAATACGCTTCCAGGCCGCACAATGGGACGTTTGAACAATCCCATTGATGATGGAATTGTCTCTGCATGCTCATAACTGATTCCCGATTACTATATTACTCTATTAGATGATGTGATTGTAGGCTTGCAGCAATTGCCCCCACCGTGCAACTTCCCAAGCAGTTACATCTATTGATGATATTTGAGGTCCCACATGAATTCAACAATTGTTTACTTTTCTACCTTCAAGTTGGAATTGTCTGCCTCGTTTTTTTCTGTCTTTTTGCCCATTCTGGAAAGGGGCCGTCCATAAATGACATCACGCACCTAGGGGGGGGGGGGGGGTCAGACATTTGTGACGATGTGTGACGAGGCGAGGGGGGGGGGTTTGAGAAATGTGACGTCACATCAAAATGTGGAACTTTAAATAAATATAGATTTGTTATAACAACACTGATTGTTATAACAACACTCCTACAACATCAGAGTACAGCGCCACATTAAATACGCACTACAATGACAATAGTTAAAGCGATTTGAAGCATGTTTTATTTTCAAAATGGAAATATGGTTTCGGGGGGGGGCAGAGCTTAATGACGTCATATTTGAGGGAGGGTCTGACTTTTTGTGACGCCGTGTGACGAGAGAGGGGGGGGAGCAAAAATCGTCCAAAATCACGTGACGTCATTTATGGACGGCCCCAAATGAGCTTTCTTCCTCTTACTGACATTTCCCCACTCGTGTGTGGGCTCTGCCTTCTCTACTTCATTCCAGAGAAGAACAACAACACAAAAACAACTTATCTTCTTTCGGAAGATAACTGCAGTTTACATGATTTCAGAAACCTCGTTTCTTCTCCCGCACGAGGCGTATGTGCAGGACACGAGCTTGCATGTACTATTTGTAGTTAATATGAACATTGACGTGAACACGTATTCTTCCGGAAACGGGCTTGTATGTTGATACAAATCTACTTGGTGTAATTTGCAGGTCAGTATATTTAGACAACCTAGTTGTATATTCATCCACCATTTGTACTGCAGTAATACCCCAATTTACGTCTCCACCGTTTGTCGTTTCGCAAGTACGTTGTCACTTTATTAACACCACCATCTGATTTCCGTTGCCTCAACCCACACTTACGTCGCTGACAGCATCATCCGTCCTTGCTCGTATCCATCACCTCGGCCTTCGCTTCCACTAACCCCTCTTAATTGCTTCGATTTGTGGCGTTTCGACATTCGGCATCGCACCTTTCAGGATCGCATCCCCGAAGTAAACCGAGGTATTACTGTACAATGTGAACAACAACATCGAAAGGACTCGCTTGGCACAGCTAATGCCGGTGGTACACGTTGCTGAAGTCAAACCCAAGAGCTCTCGTCTCTCACCGATCCATTCCGTCGCTCGATCTTCAAACCCGCCCTGTACCCTGGCCACCTCCCCGCGTGGACAGAGCAGACGGGAGGCTGCACGCTGGTGAAACGAGCATTTACTTTTCAAAGCATGCACCCAATGAATGTTATTTATTTTAAAATCCATACACGGGACAGCTCGGTTAACCGAGTTTTACAGCAAGGCTGCCATGGGCATGGTGTTAGCTATAAAAACACAATTTTTTATTTCGACAATAGCTGCATTCAATCTTAAACAAATATGGCACTCGTAATAATGCTGTGAATGGCTGGCCACGCGTGGGGAATGAATTTCCAATATTCTGTTAATACCGTGAAATAATATGAATTTGCTCGCTGCAATCAAACTGAGCCTTGCTGCTCTGCCTTTGAAGCTCAAGTGCTAATGTGTAAACCGTGAGGTTCGCTGATTCCCTGTGTTTGATCTTTTTTCGTCTTTTTGATTTGTAAGCTGTAGTGATTGCAGCTATATGAACTGAAAGGCTAGCTAGACATTTGCTCACGGTATAGATTAGCGCGTTGCGCCAAAAACCCAGCAACCCGGGTTCGATTCCCGCTCGTGGCAAACACCAGTAACGATTATCTGAACTGGTCCTGGGCCTCCCCTAGGTCGACTCGGCCTCAAATTGGTACCTGAGGTGGTGCGTAAACTTCGCCACTAGGGAGAAAAAGGCAGCCAGGCATTGTACTGGTCACCCACCCCTTCGTGTGCTGTGCCAGCCTTCATAGCTGCTCGCTAACAGCACTTGCCCCAACAGTCTGTTAAGGCTTTATGGGGGATCTCTGTCTTTTGTGTGGTGTATTAGCTCGCATATTGCACTGATTCTGGAAACTTAAGTTTGAGTTCCAACCATGGATAACATCATTGGTGGATGGTATCTAAACCGGTCCTGGGCCTCATCCAGTTTTACTCAGTCCTAGATTCAGTTTGCCCTCTGAGCCGAATGCTATACTGGCCTTAATAGATGCTTGCTAACAGTACTGTACTTGCCCCTATGTTTTTTAACATAGGTGGGGAACCTACAGGCAATGACTTAATTTCAAACGATCTGTGACCACATGAGGAACCTACCACTTCAAAACAGCCCGTAAAAAAGATTGATCCGAAACTGCGATCATCGTCGCCACACTACACGAATCAGATACCCGAGGGGAATATTTTCGAAATTAAAACCAACACTTCGCTTGCAGTCTTGGCATGCGACGCAAGGGCCTCTTGTACGTATGTTTGTTGAACTTCTGTCGCGCCGTACGTAGCAAACCGCGTTAATTCGAGGTGCGATTGACAGTCGGTGACAGCCTCGAGCGAGGCGTGCCTTCAACGTGTGGTTACCCCGCCAAGAGGCGTTCGACGCTCCCGTCCATCCCTCGGCAAGGATGAGGTTCCGCAGGCCCCGTTGTGTAAGGTTAAGTGGGGGCGATGCTTTGCGTCCCCTGCCTTTGGTGTTGCGCGGCAGGTGACGCAGATGCAGGACGAGGAGCGGAACCAGCTGTGCGTGCTCCGAGACGTCCTCAAGACAGCCATGCCCAGGGAGTCCCGAGAGGTGAGCCGTGACGTGCGTCTGCCTCCTGTGTAGTTGGCAACACCCACCGGTGGCTAAGAGATGTTAACTACCTCACCTGGTATGCAGGAGGTCGTGGGTTCGATTCCTACCCAGACGCCTGTTGTCTCTCTCTCTCATCATCACGGTGGCGAGATGTTAACTACTTTGCCTGGTATGCAGGAGGTCGTGAGTTCGATCCAGACCCTGACCTCTGTTGTATAATTGGAGTTCGTGTGTCTCTCATCGTAATCATCGTCACAGTAGCGAGATGTTAACTACCTCGCCTGGTATGCAGGAGGTCGTGGGTTTGATCCCGAACCTGACGCCTGCTTTATATTTGGAGTTTGCATGTTCTCTTTGTGGTGGTTGCGTGGATTTTTCTCCGTGTCTTCCAGTATTTCCCTCCACATTTAGAAGTAACATGCGTTTAGAGTAATTGGCTGCAATACATTTCCATGGACTATCATTTGTGGCCATGTCGCTTCTGAAAAAGAGTTATATAGCTTAGTGAGCTTTAACTGGTAAAATAACATTTGTATAGTTTAGAAGCAGTAATAGATTAGCACGTTTGTTCATGTGACAGCGTTCTTACTTGGCTGAGCCGGGCGGAAGAGGGTTTACAACGCGCATTTTATTCGCACGGTTATGATCCAAAGATTAATTTTGAATCGTATTGCATTGGTCGCGAAAGCCTGCACGCGTTTTGCATGCCCCAATGTATGTTCCACTCGCATCATACGTCCCATCGTGCGCCCCTCATAATCATGACCGCTCTCATACCAGCAATGCACAAACAGAAATGCTGTGAACTCAAAGACATACAAGATTAATCGTTTTACAACTTGATCCTCACCTACAAGATAGGCGTGTCAAATTGGGCGTTTTATATATAATCAATTATAATAGATTGGTGGAACATACCAAGATGAAACAAATGATACAGACAATACAATACAAACATGACAGAACAAAAACATGTATTCTAGAATCGAATCTTGACCCTGAATCATAACAGTTAATTTCATATTGAATCACTCTGAGTGGTGGGGGTGGGCGGTTTGGCAGGGGATGGGGTTGAATCTTTCTACGCCTGATCTCTAAGATGCAACTTTGCCGTGCTAAGTTGGCTCCAAGGTTGGTTCCCAACTTTATTTCTAGGCGCTTATTAACAACACTGGTCAGACAAAGGCAGGCAAATGTTTGTGTTTGTGGGCATATGTCCCGGCTGATGCCAATTCACGGATCGCTGTCCGTGTGCACAGGAGTCGCAAGCAAAGTTGGCCGGATACAACCTGCATCAGCTGCAGAGCAACAAGAACTTTGGCAATGAGAAGACGGGCTTCCTGCTCAAGAAGAGCGATGGGTAAGGCCAACACAAAGACTCATGCTCACTCGGTCACCAACCCATGCAATTGGCACTTGCACAATCACCCACCAGCTGACTCACTCGCTCCGATTCTTTTACCCACTCAGCCCCCAACCCACACACCCACCAACTCACTCTCTCACTCATTCACTCACTCCCCTACTCACATTTCTAGCCACTCACCGATTCACTAACTCATCTACGCCCCCACACCCTTATCCACTCGCTCACTTCAAATATATTTTCTTTATCGTCTGCACACTCATCCTTTCTCAGTGTGTAATATTCACCATAATAGGTCCTCGCTAACATCACTTGCCCCAATAGCCTGAAAAACATAAAATAGGCTTCTTGTAGATGTATGAGTGTGTGTGTCTATTTCAAATACTCACTTGCGTGTGTTCATCTTTGCACGTATTTGTGTGCGTTTCTTTTGAGTGTGTGAGAGTGCATATGTGCACGAGAATGCGTGTTAGCGTGTGCGCTTTTGTATATCATTGTACACATTGAAATGTCCATCATTGCGGCTGTCTTTGTGTCGGGTGCTTAAATTCTTACTCGACTATGCCTATAGTTGCCTGGACATAACCCCTTTGTCTCTGCGTGCATCCAAGCCTGCAAGTGCCATTCTTTGTGCCGCTTGTTTTTCTGCACGTTCGCATGCACGTTCGCCAGCGTGCATGTGCGTGCACGTTGTGTGCACGCACGTCACCGCCACTCCCCAATTGAGCGGAGTCATTCCACATCACGGCGCCATTTACTGCCGCCCTCCCCACCTTTAAGTGTTGACATTTTCTCGGAAGTCTACGTCCAAAATCCCCGGCTCCACACCACTGTTCTCGGAGCCTTGACCTCCTTCAATAAATTGCCCGCTATATTTAGACCTCTCTGTTTTCCTTTGGGATGCGTTTCTAAAATAACAGGAGGATGCCCTCTGACCCGGGTAACGTGGAGTCCAGACCACAGCAAGGCGTTGGAGTGCAGTCAGAATAAGAGGGCTGGCCTTTTTGCCAAGTCGACGTATTTAGAAGGGCGCTAGCACGGCCCCTGAGCACGTGTGTGTACAGGATTGTCGGCCGCTGGTTCTTCGGCTCGTCAACAACACGCAATTCGAAAACATTATTCAAAAATAACTTTCTTAAGTAAAGGTTATTGTATGTTTTGTTATGTCTTCCTTCGTGAGCGTGTGGGCCAGCGCGGCATCGCTGCAGAAACGCTGCCACTCAGCGGCCTGCTGCACCTCTATTACGCACGATGGGTTGTTGCCCTATCCAAGCTCGATATCTTTGCTCAACCCTGCTTAGCTTCTGCGAGCTGACGAGACTGGGAGCATTCTGTGTGGTTTGGTCACGAGACTCCGTTGTGGGTACCATCAGGCAGTGCAGGAATATCAGCTGGTTTACAACGCGCCGATGTCCGTTCTCCCCCCGCCTTCACCAACCCACACTGAGCAACCTGCCGAATAATGGTTAAATTAATCCCTGCAACCCACGTGGCGAGGTTAGGCCCTCGCCCACAAAAGTTGAATATTCCGGGTTAACACCGTGTCCGTGCACTGAACCAGCACCACTGAGACCCTACGTTCGAATCGAGGCAGCTTTCGTATGCCAAATTGAATGAAAAACTAAATCTGGATAACCGTAGCACAATTTTAATATCACTTGGAGATTAAACTAAATGAAGGATTCTTATAAAAGCTCGCATTGCCTATTGTACACCTGTTGCTTATGGGTTGGTGAAGGCCCCTCCTAACTGCTAGGTTCTTTCAGTTTGTTATCAATTCTGTTCGTTTATCAGTGTAGAAGTCGAGACTGAATGCGATTTCACTCTCCCAGCTACATGAGCCATGCCCGTGTGATCGATGTGGTGTCCTTGGCCAACTGATGCGACTTGTTAACCTCTTACAGGATACGGAAGGTTTGGCAGAGACGGAAGTGCGCCGTGAAGGGTGCATACCTGACCATCTCGCATGCCACGGTAAGGGCTGATATGGAACCTACGTCCCATTCTCTGTGTGTGTGTCTGTGTAATCAACGTGCTCGATTAAAGGGTGGCTCGTTGGGTTCAAAATTCGGGTGTCAAGAGCACTGAGCTGTGATTGATTGATGCCGGGCAGCCGATCTGTGGATATAAAAGCTCTCAAGTGTCGAGCGAGTGGTTGGCCTTTCAGCCGGTCACCAATGAGCACACAAAGTAATATCACAGGAGTGTGGTTTCTCACATGAATCTTAATAGGCCTTGCCCGGCTCGAAGAGTGAGTTTGGCAAATACACGTACAAGAAGTATAGTCTTGAGATTGTAGCAAGGTAAATTTAAAAAAATAGGCTATCCACTTAAATACTAAATAAACAACAGGCCAAATTCAATGGTAATTTATGAGGCTATAGAGCTGAAATATATCTTTGTGAGGATGCTTGTGTGTGTGTGTGTGCGTGTGTGGGCACACGTGAGGAGCGGTAGTGTAGTGGTTAGCGCCCTGCGCTACGAACCCAATGATCCGAGTTCGATTCCCGATTATCTGAACTGGTCCTGGGCCTCCCCTAGGTCGACTCAGTCTCTAATGAGTACCTGATGCGGTGTGTAAAAATCGCCACGGCGAGAAAAAAAATGTGGCGGGGCGTGGTGCTGGCCACCCACCTCCTCCTGTGCCGTGCCGGCCTTCTTCCTAGATGCTCGCTAACAGCACTTGCCCCAACAGTCTGTTAAAGGCTATACGGGGGGGATCTTTGTCTTTGTGCGCACGTCAGGCGAACCAGCCGCCTGCCAAGCTGAACCTGCTCACGTGCCAGGTGAAGCCGTGCCTGGACGAGAAGAAATGCTTCGACCTCTTCTCCTGTAAGTTGCCACTCCTCACCCGTAAACGGGGCCCCATCAGCCCAACACTCCAGTTGCTCCACGGGATCCCAATCCAATCCCACACGGATTCCAAGATCACGCTCACTGTCTTCAAGATCCTCCACCCCCTTCCTAGGTCTCATCCCACTCTACTCCCCTCCACACACCCTCTGACCTCCCCCCCCCTTTCATCCCACTCTACTCCCCTTCACAGATTCTCCGCTCCCATTCAAAATTTCACTTGGTGAGAGGTCACTCGCTCTCCGCTGCTGCCCCCGTGGTCAGGAACTCCCTTCCCCCAGCCCACTGTGCTGTCAGCGCCATGCCCCTGGTGAACTCCTTGCTCAAGACCCTCCTTTTTACCCCGGCTATGATTGATTGACTGCCTTACTCCCTAAAACAAATCTGCGCACTGGTTCTGAACAGCGTCTTGACATTTGGTCAAATTCAGATACCAAATAAATCCAACTGGTATTGTACTGTATGACATCCAGCCCCTATGGAAATTACCGACCAGCATAGCCGAGGGATAGTATTTTGTTCAGTGTTGTGTGCTAATAGATGCTTGTGTGGTTGAGTTGCTTGCCTCTCAATGGCATCGTCTTATTTGTATTTTTGCAGACAACAGGACATATCACTTTCAGGCCGAAGATGAGCTGGACTGCTTGAAGTGAGTGTTTGTCTTTTAATTCAATCATTTTATTTTATTGTTATGCTGGTTAGAGTCCATGCTGAAAAGACAGATTCATTCCGAAGCTGTAAGTTTTGGGCTGTCTGCCGTGAGTTTTTAGCTACATGAATTCGAATGAAGCATACTCTTTGGGTCTTACGGTAAAGTCACGTAGATAGGTTCAAAGAAAATAACAAAAAGCTACGACGTTTCGACCACCACACAAGCGGTCGTCATTGGGAAGAAAAAAGAAATGAGTGTTTGTCTCATTTTTCTTCCTGATGACGATCGTTTGTGTTGTGGTCGAAATGTCGTATTTTTATTACACACTTTTATTTAACTCACTCTGTCTGTTGTTGTTGTAGTATCCTCAAATATTGTAACTCAATTTTAACCCACTTCCCAATGTGGTATCGACTGCAAACTTGGTATACTTATGTCTTACTGATGACAATACTATATATTCTATCATTAAAAAAATAAATTAAACCATCTGTTTTATATGTTAAGTTTCGGCTTGGGTCTAATTGTCCACGCTCAACTGATGTTGGCTGTAAATCACCACGGTCCCTTACGTTATGGCAAGCCTCGGGGCCACTTCCTGGAGTTGTCGAGTTCTGCCATTACCAGTACAGTACATTTCATTAAAGCGTGTTTTTTAAAAAAGTATTTTAGATATTACTTATTTAGAATTTGTTTTGTTATTTTATTTGAACCTATCTACGTGACTTTACCGAAAGACCCAAAGAGTGAATTACTGCAGTCACGAAAGCTTTAAGTCACGATTTCGAATAAAGCAATTCACGTCATGGCATGCACTGCCCTCTGCCGACAACATAGCCCCATAGCAGCCTAAGACTTCAATTTTCATGAATGGCCGTGACCCATCAAAGCCCTCTGTAGGCACTGCTCTGCTTAGCTGCTGAGATGTGCGGATATCGGGTGCCATTCCCTGCGTAGGTGTCTGCTGTATAGGTGGGTCTTAAAGGTGCTGCCACTGCCTGCACTAGAGGGAGCTCAAGCGAGCCCCCCCCCCAGACGGCATTGTAGCGTGTGTAGGTTCGCGCTTTGTGGTTAACGCACAGTCCATTCTCAGCCGCTGTTTTTCACCCCTGCCCATGCGCTGCGCCCCCTCCGCCCTGCCCCACTCTGCGAACAGCTGGATCCAGGTGCTGGTGAACGGCAAGGAGGAGGCGCTCAACAGGGAGTTCTTCAACGACAGCGGTGGAGGCGTCGGTGGCGGCTATGTGGAGGGCAGCAGCGCCGATGACCTCACCAAGGCCATCATCCTGGACGTGCAGCGGCTGCCCGGCAACAACATGTGCTGCGACTGCTCCGCACCCGGTGAGGCCCAGCCCTGTAATCACAGTTCAGACGTTATTGAACAAAAATGTGTGCGTGCGTCCGATGGGGAGCAGTAGTCTAGCGGTTAGCACGCTGCGCTATGAACCTGGCGACCCGAGTTCGATTCTCGCTCACGGCCAAAATCGCTGATGATTATCTGAACTGGTCCTGGGCCTACTCTAAGTCGACTCAGCCTCAAATGAGTACCTGGTGCAACGTGTAAACATTGCCACTAGGGAGACAAAGGCGGCCGGGCGTGGTGCTGGCCACCTAGCCCCTTGTGTGCCGTGTCGGCCTTCATAGCCTGTTAAGGCTATAGGGGGGATCTTTGTCTTTAGTGTATGTCAGTGGCTATGTTTGCGTGAGAGTCATCATTGAACAGTGGTGCAGCGATTAGCACGCTGCACTTCGAGCTGGGAACATCACAGCCAGTTATGACTTAAACTGGTTGATAACGTCCTTCCAATGATTGCTCAGTTTGTACCCATCTTCTCGGTTGAAATTGTGTCTGTGTCTATATATATGGATGGCTTCATGAACAAATCTTTGTTGATAGCCAGTGGGTTTGTAAAGTACCTTCGTCTTAGAGAAATCAATTTCGTGTGAGCCCACCGCATTAAAACAATAATCAGCTACGGCCGAGGTATTGGTTCTACCGTGTTTCAGATCTGCCTTCTGTTCATGAACCTGGTCCGAGACATGTCGGTTAGTTTCCCCAATGTAACTACTGCCGCAGACACAGCTTAGTTTGTAGACGCCGGGGTATTGCATGTTAGGGATCACATCCTTCACAGATGGGATCAGATCATGAATTTTATGTACTGTGTTAAATTGAACTTGGAACTTGTGTTTGCTCAGGTTTTTTGAAAAAATTTGGTGACCCCTGCTATGTATGGCAAGGTGATGGTTTTGATTGGGTCCTCAGATGGTTCTTTCTCACCGGTTGGGGTGATAGCTTTGTGGATTGTGTAGTCTGAATATCCATTCTTCTTGAGAGCTTGGTGTACGTGTTTCAGTACATCGAGCTCTATGGTGTAGTTTTGATAAGGGAATTTCTTCTGGGATGGATGGTGGTGGGAGTCAGGTTTAGATATGCATCCGTATGGGTGGCTTTCCTGTAGACAGAATGTCCCATTGAGCCATCTGGTCTCTTTTTGATTAAAACATCCAAGAATAGTAACTTGCCATCCTTTTCCACCTCCATGGTGAATTTGATGGCTGGGTGTATGGAGTTGATGTGGTTGAGAAATTGGTTGAGAGCTGGTAGGCCATGTGGCCAGATGACGAACGTGTCATCTACGTACCTCTTCCACAAGGACGGACGTAGAGTGAATGCCTCGATGGCATCTGTCTCAAAATTTTCCATGAAAACATTGTCTACAACTGGAGATAAGGGAGAACCCATTGGGGTACCTTCAACTTGTTTGTAGGATGTTCTATTTCAGGTGAAGTAGGTGTTGGTGAGGCAGTGTCTCACCAGGGCCCGTACATCAGCATTCAGGTCTTTAGAAGCTAACCCCCCTTTTCCTGATGACGACTGCTTGTGTTGCAATCGAAACGTCGTGGTTTTTTGTTATTTTTTTGGTTATTTTCTTTAAACCTATTTACGTGACTTTACCGAAAGACCCAAAGAATATAAAATCCTGCGGTCACGAAAGCTTTAAGTTTAGATTGATCATTATTAATATTATTATCTTAAATGTTCCCTTAAAATACAGGGGGGAAAACGTGCCCGCCCTTATAACGTGAACAATACGGTCGTCGTGGTCGTCGGGATGTCGTCGTCGCGTCTCGAGCCATTGACGAGGTCCTCGCCGGTGGTTTTGCTCACGCGCGGTGAACCGTGTCGCACAGACCCGACGTGGCTGTCCACCAACCTGGGAGTGCTGACGTGCATCGAGTGCTCGGGCATCCACCGGGAAATGGGAGTGCACATCTCCCGCATCCAGTCTCTCAAGCTCGACCGCCTGGGCAACTCCGAGCTGCTGGTATGGGGCAGCAAAGCGCGTGCACACGCACAGTCACACGCACGCTCACACATTTACGTGTTCACACATACACGCACAAATGCACACACACACACGCGCTCACACAGTCACGTGTCCACACATACACGCACAAATGCACACACGCGCACACACAATCATGTGTCCACACATACACGCACAAATGCACACGCGCGCACACACATTCACGTGTCCACACATACACGCACAAATACACACACGCACGCGCACACACAATCACGTGTCCGCACATACACGCACAAATGCACACACACGCACGCACACACAATCACGTGTCCGCACATACACGCACAAATTCTTGCACGCACGTATGCACACTGACTCACAAGCACAAAGTCATGATAACAAACGTGCATGCACCCGCGTATATTCACATATATACCGTACTCCACGCACCTATGTACGTGCATATGCAAATGTGTTTACTAGTGTGTATACACAACACACATAGGAGTACATACACACACACGAGCTCAGTTTTTCCATCCGTTGAGGCTCAGTCACCCCCCTCATCCCCACATGGTCAGCCCCCCTCCTCCAGCCCCCTCCCACCCTGTTCCTATGCTGAGCAAGTTCCTCCTCCCCCAAGACCTCACAACAATGCTCAGGAAATCTGCAGACCTCATCCTGGGGCTTGGAGATCAGGTTGCCAATCTTCCCCTTAAGAAGTGCAGTAAGGGGTAGCACTACGAGTGATTTTTTTTTCCCACGGTTTCAAAGCGTGCTTTGTGATTGCGGGCTACCGATGCGGTTTTCATCTCCGCGGCAGTCGGCGACCCTAGCTCATCCTCGCAGCGCCGCACGGCTCTCCGAAGGTTGCGATTGAGCCTTCTCATTCTTGAGAGCGGGCAGTTGTAGATGCTGAGGACAGCTCCGTTGCTGTTCCATTCCAGGTGAAGTAAGTGTTGGTGAGGCAGTGTCTCACCAGGGCTGGTACATCAACATTCAGTCCTTGTTGGACCAAATCTGCAAAGATTGCAATTGTGTCAGGCACAGGAACTTTAGTAAACACCAACACTTCACCTGGAATAGAACATTCTACAAACAAGTTGAAGGTACCCAATGGGTTCTCCCTTATCTCCAGTTGTAGCCAATGTTTTCATGGAAAAATTTGAGACAGATGCTATCCAGGCATCCACTCTACGTCCGTCCTTGTGGAAGAGGTATGTAGATGGCACGTTCGTCATCTGGCCACATGGCCTACCAGCTCTGGGCCAATTCTTCAACCGCATCAATTCCATACACCCAGCCATCAAATTCACCATGGAGGTGGAAAAGGATGGCACGCTACCTTTCTTGAATGTCCTAATCAAAAAGAGACCAGATGGCTCAATGAGCCATTCTGTCTACAGGAAAGCAACCCATACTGATGCCTACCTAAAACCTGACTCCCACCACCATCCATCCCAGAAGAATTCCCTCATCAAAACTCTACACCATAGAGCTCGCTGTATTTCTGACCGTCACCACCTAGCCAGTGAACTGGAACACGTACACCAAGCCCTCAAGATGAATGGATGTTCAGACTACACAATCCGTAAAGCTATCACCCCAACCGTTGGGAAAGAACCATCTGAGGACCCAATCAAAACCATCACCTTGCCATACATAGCAGGGGTCACCAAAAATATTTCCAAAATCATGAGCAAACACAAGATCCAGGTTCGATTTAACACAGTACATAAAATTCGTGATGTGATCCCATCTGTGAAGGACAAGATCCCTGACATGCAATACCCCGGCGTCTACAAACTAAGCTGTGTCTGCGGCAGTAGTTACATTGGGGAAACTAAGCGACATGCCTCGGACCGTGTTCGTGAACACAAGGCAGATCTGAAACACGGTAGGACCAATACCTCGGCCGTGGCTGATCATTGTTTTAACGCGGTGGGCTCACACGAAATTGATTTCTTTAAAACGAAGGTACTTTGCAAGCCCACTGGCTATCAACAAAGATTCGTTCATGAAGCCATCCATATATATAAACACAGACACAATTTCAACCGAGAAGATGGGTACAAACTGAGCAATCATTGGAAGGACGTTATCAACCAGTTTATGTCATAATTGGCTATGAAGTTCCCATCCTACCACCTTCCGATGTTAGTTGTGCTTTACGCCCATTTCAAACTTGCGCTTTCACAGTCACTTCGTGTGCTGACCCCTTGGCTGCGGCTCTGCGATCTGCCATTAACTTGCTAATCTCTCTTTAACATGCTCATTTTCAACGAACCACCGCCAGGCTCGCTGACGAACACTTACTCATTGGCTGCTGACATTTGGGCTACGCCCATTTCAAACCCTTATAAACAGTTTGCCTTGGAAGCTAACCCCCCTTTTCCTGAAGACGACCACTTGCGTTGCGATCGAAACGTCGTAGTTTTCTGTAATTTTTTATTATGTTCTTTGACCCTATTTACATGACTTTATGGAAAGACCCAAGAAGATGTAAGAAGCGCGATAAGAGCATCGTCCGATTTGTCAAACATCGGCAGATTATGATTTTCGTTGCTCAATAATAGCTCTAAAATAACAGTAAAGTTCACGATAACAGTGAAAGTAAAAAACAGTATTACTGTAAGCCATTCAGTTAGTGCTTTGTATAACATTTTCCATAGTGATGTCATAATTTTCTGACAGAATGTGCATTTAAATTAGATTATCAAGTATCACTATTTAAAAAAACCTGTGGCTGGATTATGTTACGTGAACTTGCAGTTGAATAACAATTTAAGCATCTTTATTTGTACTTGAAATAAATGGTAGCAAAAAAACAGGGAGATTAAACAGTGAAATACAACGGCAAATTTAAGTATAACCAATATCACGATAATAGTCGAATCGTGAATATCCAAGACCGTGTCGTTAAAAAATGACACCGCAACAGCTTTACCAGCCACCTAACGATCAGCGCCCATAGAAGGTGTCTACGTGTGTTGAGGAGTTCCCACGGACGCACTCAGAGACGTAGGTAAGTTAAGGGCTTTCGCCGAGGGTTTATTAAAGGCTTCACAATACACACAAGGGTACACAACTCCCAGGGGCTAGAGGTCCTACTCTGAGTCCGGGTCCCTGCCGGCTAGCTCCGGTCTCTCTCTCTCGTGTCGGATCGGGGACTCTGCCGACTCCACGGACCGGAGAGAGAAGCACCTCTACGGCTACCACCAGCTTCTCCCCAGACTCACCACTCGATCCCTCTCTCTACCCCTGGTTCCCTCTTCACCCTTCGTACTCTACCCGTTCCCACAGTGACCCTGCTTTCGTCACGGGGTCTCCCTTAAGTACTCTAGTAGACGTGACGTCATCGCACTGAACGACACACCTGACGTCACGTCCTCATTTTACTCCTCTACACGTGCGTGCGCGGATCCAACCTGGCAGCGCATTCTAGTGTGAGCAAGCATATGTGCCCGGCAGCGTGCAACAGCGCGTCATTGTGTGGGCGCGTGTGGGTGGCTTCGCGCACCAGCCCGTCCGTGCGATTGCGCACGTAACGATGGCAACGCGCGTGGGGCAGAGCGATGACGACGTGCTACGCGTGTGTTCCCCCTTCCCAATCCCGCGCAGTTGGCAAAGAACGTTGGCAACACGAGCTTCAATAAGGTCATGGAGGCCGAGCTGAAGAGCACAAATACGGCCAAACCCACGGCGATGAGTGACATGTGAGTTGCCTGCTACTGCCTCTGTTTTGGCTGCGAGCCTCGGAAGGAAAACGGCAGGTGACGCTCTCCGTTTTCCAGGGTTGTGGGGCGAGCGGTGGCTCGGATCAAACAGTGAACACGAAAAATGCAAAATGTATGCGACTGGGGCTGTAAAATGTACGCATTGCTAGCTTCATAGAATGGGATTGAATAACCCGGATTTCAGTTGTCTGTGATCGGTTTACTTGCCGTCATGTTTGTGGCCACGTGGTTATCTAGTCACTGACCATCAATGAGTGTGAGGGGTAGCTGATAATTCAACAAGATATTCTATGAATGTCTATGTAGGCATGCGAGAGTTGATGGCGGTGACATGGCCCTGCAGTGGCGCATTCGCCGCTTGTTGTTGCGGAGGTTCAGGTTTTAAATCAGGCAGGCCGCCCTGGCTAATACTGCGGTGTATGTTTTAACCTTAAGACACTCCGTACCGTCTGCTTCACAGCGGACATTCAAGAGCCCATGCCAGCAGTTCGAAGAAGAGTAGGCTGTGCGTGCTGGCATCAAGGTCTAAATTTGACAAATTTGAAAAATTACTCCAAAATTACCGAATTGGGAAACGCATAGCGCCTCCTACTGTGACAATATTAGCACGACCCACCTGAAATACAGTTGAGGCTCTGTGATGCTTTTCTGGGTAAAACAAATGCTAAACTATAGGTAGCTTCTCCATCCATCGTGAGTTGCTGCAGAATGTGGAATTACCAGCGCTGGTTCAGGACCATCAGCAGAGAGAGAGACAAGAATGCCACCCAGCGCTCCATCCTGCCCTTTGACCTGAAGCCTGTGTTGCGTGGGATGGCACAGGGAGGCGAGGAAGGGCTTCATCATGGCCAAGTACTGTGGAGCGGCGCTTCGCCCAGAAGCCCGAGGCGACTGCTCAGGACCTGCGCGTGGCCTTGGTGGAGGCGGTGCACGAGAGGGACGTGCTCAAGCTGCTCGTGGTGTCCGCCAGCGGGGTCGACCTCTCCGCCTCGCTGCCCAGCACGCGTGGACAGGTGGGGAGCGCCGGGCTGCGTCGGCGATGCATGTGCAAGTCTCCCAGTCGCCCCCGACACGCTGTGTAGGCTACACGAGGGGGGGTGGATCCTTCTCTTTGTTTTTGTCTCTTGCGTGCTTGTGCAACACCAGGAGGCGGGCGAAACTCCACTGCACTTGGCCATCCGGCTGGCGGATGTGTCTCTGCTGCACATCGTCGACTACTTTGCGCAGAACTGGTGAGGAGCATTTCGATTTAAAGCTTTCGTGACTGCAGGGATTCATCTTCTTGGTTCTTTCGGTAAAGTCACGTAGAAGGGACATAATAAAATAATAAAAATAAAACATAATAAAATAATTATCACGACGTTTCGGCCACAACGCAAGCAGCCGTCCTCAGGTGAAGAACAGGTCTGTCGGAAAGACAGTGTCTGAATGACACTGTTCTTCACCTGAGGACGGCTGCTTGCGTTGTGGCCGAAACGTCGTGAGAATTATTTTATTATGTTTTATTTTAATTATTTTATTATGTCCCTTCTACGTGACTTTACCGAAAGAACCAAGAAGATGGTGAGGAGCACCTTGCACCCGCGGGTGGCCTTTCTGGAGGCTGGAGCCAAGCTGCACGAGTCAGCCTTTCTGTGGCACTTCGTGTGCAGGAGCTCACGAGCCGAGAGTCCATTCGCGATCAGTCTGCAATGTTTAAAACAAAATACTGCAATGGACTCTAGTAACTTTTCATCCGAATATTGTCCGGTGCTTGACATTTGCATTTCCCGCTGTGTTATAGAGAAGACTGAACTTCATTTTATGACCAGAACTCCAATTAGCAGAGCCTCCAGTCAATCAGCGAAATATATTGTTACCCGCAAATGAATTCTTATTCTCTGCGTTATTACATGGATATGAGGATTTCCCCAGAAGCGGTCTGCCGGAAGTAATATTTTTGTCCTAGGATCCACATTTTCACGGATAAACGAGGTCAAATTTTCACTTAAAACTTTCGTGACTGCAGGAATTCATATTCTATGGTTCTTTCGGCAAAGTCACGTAAATAGAAAATATAATAACAATACAATTATACAAATAAAAATGTAAAAAGTGAATAAAAAATAATACAAATATCACAACGTTTCGATCGCAACACAAGCAGTCGACCCCTTGTGTTGCTTGACTTTACCGAAAGAACCATAGAATATAAAAGAGGTCCGTTTGAAGTGATGGCAAATTCATGAGATTGCTTTTAGCCACAGCTACTCGCGCAGATAGAGCATTTTTTTACGGCGAGACTCTTGTAATAGAGCTCTCCCCACATCAACGTGGATGAGAGGAGTGTCACTGTGTCTTGTCAGTCTTGCTGGAGATTAAACACGTTTGGCACAGTGCTAACTTACGCGCGATCCAAGTCGGATGCACTTTAATAAAACACTGATGTTGCTTTAGTAAACACTGCCTCCTCCTCCTCCCTCTTCCCCGTACGCATTCCTGCCGTCGTCGTCACGCACAGCCACAACATGGACAAGCAGACGGAGAGCGGCAACACGGCGCTGCACTACTGCTGCCGCCACAACCAGACCGAGGGCCTCAAGCTGCTGCTGCGGAGCAAGGCCCACACTGACATCAGTACGCGCGAGCACAGCGGGACGCACAACCCCTGAGGACTGCCGCGATGCCAAAATAAAACAAAACCACGGTTTTAATTGTTTCAATCGCAACACCCCTGAGGTTGGGCTACGCGGTGGGCAGCAGCAGCAGCAGACGGCAACGCAGCGCAGTTGTACCGCACTTTTGAACGCCTTCGCCTGTGCCAGAGGTCGCAACCAGGTACCCGATACCCGTACCCCTACCCGATACCCGGCTACCCGTACACGGCCGGGTACGGGTACCCGTTTGCGACCCTGGTGCGGCCGGGTACGGGTAGGCCGTGAGTCACTGATGAGTCACCGTTTGTCACTCATTTCCCAACGTCTTGTCTCTTCTCACAATTCAAGTTCCTAGAATCAACCCACCCGCGCCTGCAACATGGCTTCATCCCAGAGGTCGCAATCAGGTACCTGATACCCGTACCCTACCCGTACCCGGCTGGGTACGGGTAGCCGGGTATCGGGTAGGGTACGGGTACACGTTTGCGACCCTGGTGCGGCCGGGTACGGGTACGGGTATGGAGTCAAAACCCGTTTGCGACCTCTGGCCTGTGCTCCCCGGCTTCACCAACTCGCATGGAAGCAGCGCTGGGGAACTACGGCGGAAGAGCTGTCGCTGTCGCGCAGCATGAGGAGGCCTTCATCCAGCAGTGGGATTGACAAAGGGCTGCGCGTGTGCTGTATGCCATGCTGTCTCACATGAGTTTGAAGCTCTGTTAATGGGAAATAAGTATTGAACGTGACGGCATCGTGACCGTTCTCATTTGTGTCCCGCTGGGTGGGGAGGTGATGTTTGGGGGCTTGGTGACATCTTCAGCATCATCAGCCGCTTCACCCTGGGATCGTATGGGTTTTCCTGCACGGCTTGTGGGGGGTGGCTGCCATTGTTTAACTAAGCCGAGTAATCAATTACGGATTAATCGACTTAATCATCTCACCATCCTATCTCTCCCTGTAGCTACCACCACACTTTCTAAACGAACGGCGCTTTGGTTTTTTGTAATTCCCTCTGCACAGAAAACGCCGATGGAGAGACTGCTCTGGATGTGGCGCGGAGACTCAACCACTCGCAGTGCACGGAGCTGGTGAGATCACACGCGGTTCAGTACACTAGAGTCGCAGTTCAACACTGTGCAGTTGTAGCCGGTCTGCCCTGTCCCCTCCTCCCGTCGTGAATCCATGCAAGGTGGGGACCGGTTGGCCGCAATTACGATCAGAGACACCCTCCACGTCACAACACCGCAGATGAATTTCTCGGTCCGGCGGTCAGCCCAAAGCTCAATTTGGGACGTGTCTCGTACTCCACCGTGCGTTTGGGTGCTCGGGGTCCAATCCCTGGTCACCATCGCCTTCTCTTAAATAATATTTTTTTTAAAACGCAACTGGCTGTCTGTAGCTGTGCAACATCGTTTCTTAGTTTCCCATATGCTACCGAGTGCACAATTATATACATGCGATTCATTACAGGCAGCTAAGCCTACACAAGGTTACCATGCAATTGGCCTATGACTAAATCACCTGAAATGCCACCCCCCCATCCCATCCCATCAGACAGAACCCTCCTTAAAAAGGCCTTGAGTCTAAGTGAGGCTTCCCTGCACATATAAATATTGTAATTATGAATACAATTTTTATTTCAACACGGCCATTTGTCCCAAATACAGCGGCATGTCAGAATCAGAATCGGCCACTATGTGAAGGCACTAGAGAAAGAAACACGTGCATTGTAATGAAATTGTATGTTTGTTGAACTTCTTCCGCACCGTACGTAGCCAACCGTGCTAATCGGAGTTGCCGGGGGAAGGACAACAAACTAAACACAAGAAGCAGTTGTAAATAAATTCGTTTTCAATCTAGATCTCAAAGTGAATAGCTCCAGTGGCTTCCTAATATCGGAAGGAAGAGCATTCCAGACGGCCGCAGAAGCGCATCTGAAAGCGCGCGCGATGCAGTGACCGTCTTTGTTCCATTGTGCAGAAGATGTAGGATTTTATTTGAAAGACAATGAGAGAAATCATGCAGAGGTGAGGAATTGTGGACTCAATGAGGCACTAATAGATGGAAGCCAAACGCATTGTTTGGTGGTGATACTGCGTTGGCAGGGGTGCACACAAACAAGCATAACAACAACAACAAAAACTCAACACATTTGTAAGTAACTCTGTGAACCTTATGAGGAAAAATATATAATTGGTGACATGTCAAGCAAAGGCTCTTCTATAATTATTTATCATTGAATAAATCATTTATGTGCTATGAAGAAGGGCCATTGCCCTGAAGTGTCGATTATCAAATATATATTTCCTTTTAATCCAACGTTCTCAACTAATGTTTTGAGTTTTTGTGTTCAGGCCTTGATATTAAGTGAGACGAAGTGAGGCAGCTGGAAGTGGTCAGTCATTGGCTTCATCATGAATTAAACAAAAAACAAAGCAGTACCCTGCAGCCTGTATGTTGATTCATCCCAGTCTAACACAGCATCATCGTACTTTAAAGCAGGTGCTGTGTGTATCCCATTGTGCGGCGTTGTCCCTGATACTGAGATGTCTGTCTCTGCTGTGCCGCTCGCAGCTGGAGCAGGCGATCGCAGGGATCTTCGGCACCCGGGTGCACGTGGAATACAACTGGAACCTGCAGCAGGATGACTTTGATGAGAGTGACGACGACCCAGATGAGAAGGTGACACCTGCCGTGCGAGACCGCCAGTTGTTGTTGCATCGCTGTTCACTCAGATTGTCTCTCGGCACTCGTTCTGCAGTGTGTGAATGTGTGGGTGTGTAACTCGCTGTAGCGGTAGCACGCTACGCTACGAACCCGGAGACCCGAGTTCGATGTCTGCTCATGACCAACACCAGTGACGATTATCTGAACCGGTTCTGGGTTTCTCCTAGATCGACTCCACCTCAAATGAATACCTGGTGCAGTGTGTAAACATCGCCACTAGGGAGACAAAGGCGGTCGGGCATGGTGCTGGTCACCCACCCCCTCGTGTGTCGCGCCGGCCTTCAAAGGTGCTCGCTATCAGTACTTGCCCCAACAGTCTGTTAAGACTATATGGGGGATCTTTGTCTCGTGTAACTTGCACGCACTTATGTAACACCTATGGGCAGCAGTGGTCGAGTGCTTAGTGCACGGTGCTATGAACCCGGCGACCCGAGTTGCAACTCCCGGCCAACGTCAGTCAGAAATGTCTAAACTGGTCCTGGGTCTCCCGTCTATCAATTGAGGCTTAAATGAGCACCTGGTGCGGGTGGTGTAAAAATCGCCACTGGGGAGACAAAGGCAGCCAAGCATAGCGCTGGCCGCACCACCTCTACGTGCACCGCGGCGGCCTTGATAGTCGCTCGCCAACCGCGCTCACAAGTCTGCTAAAGGCTACACGGGGAGCTGGTGGTGGGGGGGGGGTGTGTCTCGTTGCGTAACTCGCGCTCGATGCCACGCGTCGCTCGCAGGTGAGCCCCGTGCGGCGCGAGCGCGGCGCCCGCCCCGTCAGCTGCTACCACTGCCCATCGCAGCAGCACCTGAGCCGCGAGCGGCCCGGCTCGACGCGCGAGCGGCGCGCCCCGCCGCTGCACGGGGTCGACCCGGCGTCGCGGCAGCTCTCCACGCTCGCCGGCGCCACCAAGCGGGTGGCGGCCGAGGTGGCGGCCGCGGCGGCGGCTGCGGCGGCGGCGTCGGCTGCTGCTGCTGGGACGGATTACAGTAACGGCGGGCAGCAGACGGACGTCTGCACGGCACCTCCGCTACCTCCTCGCATCGTGGGCAGCGCTATCAAGGGCCCACGTGAGTGATGCAACAGCGTCAGGAAAAGAGGCAGGGAAATGGTTCGATAATGCGCGTTTCTTTTATTTGTCTTGACGGCGGTGCTTGTAAATTATGCTCTTAGTGTTTCCTAACAGCGGTTCTGTCTGGGATACTCGCTTAATGTTTTTATAACCGGTGGTTCAATTTGTGGCGCTTTCAGCGATCAAAAGAGCGGTCCCGTCAGTGGTGTTATCACTAATTGATTGAATGAGTGAGCCTAACGATTGATTGGTGATCTCGCCAGTGATGGGATAGGAGACGATTTTTACATCCAAGTGGGCGATTAATACAAAAAAAAAACCCCACCGACTGAGCACCGCTATTCCTGATTTACCATCACCCCCGCTGCGACTCATCCGGTCACCCGTCTCTGTGGACTCCCTGACGCTTGGGTGCCGTGCGGTGTCGCTGGGTCGGGTGCCTCTTACTCTCCGTTGCGCTGCTTTCCGGGCGTGCAGCCGTGCCGGGCCTCCCCGGCCTCGCCGCTAACATGGTGGCGGGCAGCTGCAACTCGATGTCGCGGAAAAAGCCGCCTCCTCCCCCGCCCGCCAGCAGCCCCGGCTCGGGGCACAAGCGGACCCTGTCGGAGCCGCCGGGGGTGATGCCGCCCACGCCGCCCGTGCGCGGCTCCTCGGTGCTGCGCGGTGAGGGCCCCGGGCCGGGCCGAGAGGCTCGCGCGGAGACCCCGGGCCGCGTTTCCCTCCCGCGACCGACCCCTGTGGTCTGTGGTCTGTGCGGCGAGCGCAGAATCGGCTCGGATCGTTAGCCGCATCTGGCATTCGTTGGCATTTGTTATATCTACGACGAGTGTAGTCACGGACGAGTTGAGTGTGCCAGGAGTTGCACAGAAGGGGGCGATGTTGAGATGTGGAAGTTAGATAACACTGGTCAACACACTTTTTCTGGCATAAGGTATTCCAACGGTTGTAAGGTAATTTTGGGGTGCTGATTCCAAATCTGGCATCAGTTTTTGTCTATCACCTCAGGTTTTTGAGATATCAAATATTGAATTTTCAATAAAATCTGCAGAAGAAAATAAATATTAAATAAATGTGGATATCTACATACAATGATATTATAAACACGCTATCCTAAAAATACAGCACCATATTTTAACACTAAAGCAGTCACCGAATCTCAACAACTTGCAATAATATAATAATACCCAAAAGTGTGCTTACTACTTGCTGCCCTTCAGGAGGGTGTCCACCAAACCCGCCCCCACTTTCCTGGGCTACAGGCGCGCACCACGACGGCAACACAACCGGCGGTTGTCTGTGCGGCCGTGGTCTTTGCCGGCTGTGGGTTTTGTACTGGTGAACGGGGTGAGACGCAGTGTCTCGGCCTCCTCTCGTTCCAGGGTCCAACGAAAGCTCACCGCCTCCGCCCCCTCCCGTGGCCAAGCCAGCGGCACTTTGCGACATCGGCAATCGGCAGCCAAGGTGAGCCCCCCCCCCCCCCCCCGAACACCGGATCGGTTAACACTGCCACGCACAAGAAGAAAGAGCCCCCGTGAATATTTAGCGACGTGCACCCGATGTCTGAACAAGAACCCCGTTATCTTCACGTTCGCCATAATCTATCCGCTGCTGGATGAAGGCCTCCCCAAGGCTGTCTCCATCCCTCATGGTCCCGCGGTCTTGATTCTGCACACGAGCCGATTTCATCGCTCTATCTCCTCAGTGGACATTACCTTGGGTGTGTTCCCTGCTTTGGCTGCCACTCTTTTATTGATCTCGACCATCATCATCTCCTCTCTCTGTGTGCTATAAAGAAGGACCATTGCCCAAAATGTCACGTGTTATATATTTTGTTTTCATTTAAGGCAGTGTTATTGACGAATGTTTTTATTTGTTTTGTAAGTTGTGCTTAGGCAATGGGATTAGTTAGGGTCATTCAGGTTCGGCTTGACGATGAGTGAATCGCGTGTTCCCGTGGACAGCCCTGACAACAAGCTGCAAGCTGGGAAACGGCCAACCATCCACGGCCTGCGTGTCCTGCCCAAGACGCCTCCTTCCGCCTCAGGTAGTGACAACATTTGCTGTATGCCAGCAAGCTGACGCACCACAATCTAGCGATGGAACAATTTCTTGGCTTAACGCTCCGGTCTCTCACCAGTGACTCATGCTGCAAGCTATGGCTGCAAAGTTTCGTCGTACATGTATATCGTTTTTTGTTAAATTTGAATCAGCAGTTCCTATGATCACTGTACGTTGTTTTTATAGCTTTATTTTGGTGATTTCGAAAACTTTTGCATTAGCCATATTTGTTTGTTGTTGTACAGAGTTAGACTGATAACTTTAATCTAAATTGTCTTATGGTTGTTATTGTTTGACTTGCATCCCACTGGGATTTTTGCACACAGCGTTGATATTTCTGGAAGACTTTGCTGTTTTTTCCTGGATATTTCTGTTGCGCGTCGTCACTTTAAGATGTTTACTTGTTCATGTTGTTTGTTGCGGTTGCACCCGATTCAAGAGCCGAATGGCTCACAGGGCTATACCAGATAAATGAAACTGAAACTGAAAACCAGAAAGAACATGTGTCCCATTACAACAGGGCGTGGTTTTGGCCATTCTCTCCCAGTTATACACTGTGGATTTTTCTCCGGGTTCTCCGGTTTTTCCCTCCGCGTTTAAAAACATGCACCTAGAGTATTTGGCTGCTAGAAATTTCACAATCAGCCACTTAATTTGTGGCCATGTTGCTTCTGACCTTACCTGGTAAAATAAAAAATAGTTTAGTTTTTAAGTTTAACGCTATCGGTATCACATCATGAGACAAATACTTTATCAATTGGGATTCCTGCCCCTAGCATTGCTCTTGTTTTTCCGAGAAGCCCCAAAATACGATCACAGAACTATGGCTCGAATTATCAGGCTTTTTTTATCCGTACTATCGGTCCGTCTTTTAAATGCCCTGCACGATGCTCATCGCATCTAAATCAAACAAACATGTTTTACACCTCGGAGCTGGACTAAGCCCCTTAAAACAAAAAACACAATGATATTTATCACCTAGGCTTTCGCGACCTATATTATTGATAATATACGTTTTTGGGTTAGATCGCGTTATTTATAAATGTGTCGTAACCCTCCACCACCCGACACGGCCAATCCGTTAAAAAAGTGTCACGTTGACAAAAAGACAAATAGTTCACTACTTTAGCCCACCAGTGTGTTGAAGAGTGAATCCACAACATTTACAATTTTTGAGTACGACGTTTCGCTGGTAACTACATCCAGCATCATCGGGCAATTTGCCAGAATGGTGAAGCCCTCCACTTGCTCCCGGTCTTAAATAGAGCAGCAGCAGGGTGACGTCATCATTTAACTAATTCAGGTGCAGTGATTTGAGGCGGAGGGGGGGGAGGTATTGTAATTATATAATAGATTAGTAATAAGTTACTTATTATGATTAGTAATTAGTTGTAATGTGTGTTATTGTAATTATATGCTACGTTAGTAATCAGTTAATTAGTATGTGTTTCCCCTATAAGGAAATGTAATGTTTTATTTAATTATATGCTTCCAGGCCGCTCCTAAGCCTGTAGCTATTCTTGAGAGCCTGGTTTATAATCACAGGTGGCTGATTCTATTGGATATTGTAAGCTAAGCAGGATTAAGCCTGAATAATGCTTGAGTGGGCAAGCACCATGCACACAAAAAACAGGTGTTGTAGGCATTGTGAGCAGCAGAGGGAAATGCAGCAAAATCAAAAATCGTTCCGTATTATACCCCACGTTCACCAACCCACAAGCACCAGTGTGGTGAAGCATGGGCAACTCACCTCTCATGACACACACTACGTGGGGAGGCCCTCGCCCAGCAGCGGAATGACAAGGGGCTGTACGTGCTGTTACGTGCTCATGTTCTGTGCAGCGCTGAGGAGGAGGTCAGAGACAACGGGGAGCACCGAGTCCCTGTCGCAGCAGCAGCAGCAGCAGCCGCCGCCTGTCAACCCGGCCGCCAGGCCCGTGCTCCCCGGCACCGCGAGCCGCACCCCACCGCTGGAACGCCTGGGAGCCAAGCCTCAGCTGCCGGACCACCCTGGACACAAACCGCTGGCTCCAGATCCTGGGACGAAGCCACAGTCTATGAATCACCCCATGCCCAAACTGATTCCGCCCGACCCTGGTACGAAGCCTCACCTCCCGGATCTCCCTGGAGCCAAACCTCAGGCCTCCGAGAACCGGGCCAGACTGCAGATGCCAGAACTTCCTCCGAGCAAGCCGCAGACTCCGGATCCTGGAACCAAGCCCCAGCTTCCGGATCAGAGAAGTAAGCCGCACGCTGCGGACCAGAGCCTCAGGCCGCAGCCGCTCGCGTTGGCGCCCAAGCCTCAGCTGCCAGATCCGGCGACCAAGCCGCAGCTCGCCGAACTCACGCCGGTCCGGCCCCGAGCCCCCGAGCAGTCGGCCAAACCGAGCCGGTGGAGCACCGAGTCTGAGAGGGCGGCGAACAGGATTTTCCCGTGGCCCCGATCCTCCGATGCGACCGCAGATGCCGCCGCCGCCACCGCCGCTGCAGCGGCAGCAGCACAGCAAGCGCGTGTCGGGATCCACGGAGGAGGTGCAGGCGATGGAGGAGCAGCTGTCGCCCTCCTCGCCGGCGCCACTTCCTCTGCCGCGCAAGACCGTGCAGGTACTGAGTTTATCCAGCGTCGTGTGTGCTGGCTGTGTGCTGGCTGTGTGCTGGCTGTGTGCTGGCTGTGTGCTGTGTGGGCCTCGCCCTGCCGCGTTGTGCCCCTGTGCTCTGCTACTTCGTTACTTACGTTCTGCTCTGTACTGGGCATGTAAAGGTTCCACCCACACACAGTAAATCGATAGATTTTCACAACTTGTCAATTTAGTCTGCGTTGTACTTTTTTGTTGCATTATTTTTAAAGTCTCATTGTCCGTCTCGTATTTTGTGCCTGACTCATTCCGCCTCGTTTGTTCCACTAGCCAAAAGAGAAACGCCTCTCACCCCACCATGCTCTCACACAATTGACCTCTCACGCCACCATGCTCTCACACAATTGACCTCTCACCCCACCATGCTCTCACACAATTGACCTCTCACCCCACCATGCTCTCACGCAATTGACCTCTCACCCCCGCCCTCCGCGGCCGTCGCCCCACAGCGAGTGAAGACGAAGAAGCGGCGCGTGAAGGCCATCTACGACTGCACAGCCGACCACCCCGACGAGCTGACCTTCCACGAGGGCGAGGTGCTGCTCGTGGTGGAAGAGGAGGATGCGGATTGGTGGGTGCGTAAATCCACCTCCTCTCTTCTCCTGCACACGGCTGGAGCTACCACATGTCCCAGTTGGGGCTGTATGATTCAGGCCACGCCAGCTATTCTGCCTCAAAGCTCCCATTCTAAAGACCCCTTAGGATAAGAAACGCTGTATTTGTTTTATCGCTGTGCTGATGAAATGGGGAGGAAGGGAGGGAGTCACGTGGGTGCTGCCCAGGCCTGCAGAAATCTATTTTTACTCGAGCAGGAATTCTTATATTTCTGTATGGCCTGGCAGAAACCACAGCCATCGCTTGTTGATGCAGTGTCTCCACCAGAGCAAGAGCTGCGTCGCTATGAAATTAGAGCGGAGAGCACCACAGCCTGTAAGCCGTCTCTGCCAAAGCCAGTGTACGTGTAGAGCCCGTTTTATTAATCCATTGCTGGATGAGGGCCTCCCACCCAATGCGGGCAGTGAAGGATATTTGACCACACTTCGCCACGCTGGTTAGTGTGGGTTGGTGAATGTGTGCTGAGCAATGAACTTTTCTGCACCGTCCTCTGCTGCCCACGACATCCCTTCTTACACCTGTATTTTGTGCTTGGTGGTCACCCATTCAAGTGCTATCCAGGGCTAAAACATGCTTAGATTCGAAGGTCTCGGGCGCAGTCCGGATATTTGGCCATAGCTGAAGCCAGCAGATCCAGCCCGTGTTGTTGGATGATCGTATGAGGTGGTGCCAAAGCGATATCTATAGATCCCACTGAACCCATGAGGTCACTTGTGTGTTACTCCTCCACGCTTTCCCATAGCTACAGCTGAAATCCATTTAGCCATGAGGCTGCTTCGCCCGTTCCATTTTGACCCAAACGAGACGAACGTTTGTTCACCGCACGTCAAGTCGCTGTGGTGCTGTGCTGGATCGTGACCGACTGATTCTGTATCGCCAGATCGGCCACGTGGAGGGTGAGCCGGAGAGAACGGGCGTCTTCCCCGTGTCCTTCGTCCACATCCTCTCGGACTGACAGCGCAGCAGGATCTCACGTCCGTCTGAATCGTAGCTGGTCTTAGATTCAGGGGACACGCTCGCCCGCACACGCAAGGGCCACAAACACACGAGCACACAGCAAGACTTCAACCAGCGTACCTACGAATAATAACACAAACGAGTGCAAACAATATTAATCTTTCCACATGTGCTCTCACATGAGGAAGTGACATGGGAATTAAATTCAAATTCCATCCAGTCCTGTCTTGTCCCTTTAACATTGACCCTACCCCCAAGTACCCTTCCCAACAAACATTGTCCCATCCTGCTCTGTAAGCCTGTCGCGCACACACACACCACAAATACTACCACAACAACAGCCACCATTCGCTACTAAGTGGCGGTGACGTCACCACGGCACTTGTGCCAGGCCAGGTGCACATACACAAAGACGCGTCTATATTTCACCATACATCCACATACTAACAAAGACACACGTGCCATGCACACACAGAGGTGCACGTAAATAATAACATGCATACACATCGTAACATGCGCACTCACACGCACACGTACTTACGTGCACACAAATACCCAATGTTCCTCCCGTCCAATCCCTTTGCTCAATTCCCATCCATTTTCATGGGTTTTTATTCCAATTCCTGCATGCCCATGTGGTGCATGTTCTCATTCCCACAGCACTTCTGCACGGTTCCCTTCCTAACGGCACTCTCCAAATGCACGTGAGGCCTAGATGGTTCCAGCATGTTCCACCACGATTTATAGCTGATACGTTTAATAATTTACTGCCCTTTTCGTTCCACTGCTGTTTGAATGCTTCCTATCGCTGTGTCGCTCATGGAGGTTGTTTGACCATACTTCACCATGCTGGTAAGTGCTGGCTGGTGAAAAGGGATGACCCAGGACCGGTTGAGATTATCACTCGTTACTACTCTTCTTGCGTATGGCAACATATTCAGGGGGCTGAATGCCATTGTCGATCTTGCAAGCCACGAGAGGGCTTCTTTTGAAAGAGCGCAGACAGTGGTTTACCGCATGGTCCATAGTTACTGACGATAGCCGTGAGCTGGGAATCCAACTCCGATGGCAGTGTGCGTATAACTGCGCCACCACGAAGATTATGAAGAGCCGTGTGCATTTAAACGAGAAAGGTTGCATGACCAATCTGGCTGCGCGATGATGAAGCAGCAAAGACCGCAAAGTCGATCAAAGACGCCGTCTAGAGGTTCGCTTTAACCACGGGCCTGGCGTGTATATGTACAGGTGTATATGCTGTGTAAATAGAAACGGCCTTTCCATTTGCAACCCGCTGCAGATGCTGCCTTTGACTCCAGTTTTGGCTGGTCACCGAAACTCGCCTGTTGTATCCGCGTCGCAGTAAGACTTGGGGGGTGGCCAAGCTTTCCCAGTCAATCGCCTTGTTTCCACGTTCAATGTGAATTATAGAAGAACAATAATGATTATAAGGTAAAAACAATGCAATGCATACGTATGGGTGATCATTTGTAATCTCTTTCCTGCAATGCCTCCCACGAGCCTCCTTAGTTGTGATCGTACCCTTGCTGACCCTTGCCCCATCACACTGGCATCTCAACACTTGAGGGCTCAATGAAAGTGATGGGGGCACAAAGCACAATTAATTGTGGGAGACGCCACCATGGTTTTTTGCTTTAGTATTTACAACCGGGGTTTAATCGCTTACGTTAAACCCAGTTTTCATAACCCTCCTCCAGAAGACTTGAATCCCGCCCCGACCACCCACCTCCCAGCAATCTCTTTGCAAAAATAAAAACAAAGTGCTGCCTAGGGGCGTCGCCATAGCCACAACGTCGTAGCCATTTGATTATCACTGCCATGGGGCTCCGCCGTTAGTCACGTAACTAATGAATCCATCGTTGGGAAGAAACTTTGCGAGCCCCATCACGTGTGTGATCGTTCGAGTGAATGAACATGGAGTAGCGTAGGTTCTTCAACTGGCAGCCCCGTGGGTCAGACCTGATCCGCAAAGGCTCTTACAAGTGGTCCACTGAACTGTGGCCTGCCGAGAGATGTTGACTCACCGAGACCTAAAGAGATTAAGATTCATGTACTGAAAGCGAGGTTCACGAGAGGTATGCGACTTGGAGATAGGAGGTATAGATTTGTGGTCACATGCACAGACGTTATAATATCACGACGCCATGTGACTTTATCCCGAGTGTATACATGACATAAGGTCATGTGATCCACAGCAGACGCAACATTTTTTGGCCCTCCATAAAATGCAGTTGAAGAGTCCTCGAGTGAAATGTGTATGTATGTTGAACTTGTTTTGCACCGTGCTAAACGGAGGTGCAGGAGATGGAACATGGGGCTGATCCTTCATTGCACTGCACGCATTGCCTATCGGAGATTTAACAGCTCTTACATTGTCTCGTCTGTTGTAATTATGTTTATGTCAATTTTAAATGTATGTTGACTTTGTGACCGAGTATAAAAATCTCGCAGTTACCCAATAACTTGCTGTTGAAAAGTCAATTGCAGTTTGAAACGTACGAGGAGGGGTTTTGTGAATTAGAAGATGTGGAGAAGCTACCCAGTGATGAGCGCTGTGCATCATTAATTTTAACAAAATTCAACCAAATTGTTTTCCGCCCTCGAGTGTCCACGTTGTACCGCATGTTTGTTCGGCTCCACGTAGCTTCCTGTGCCGGGTGGCTCCTTAGCATCGGAGAGATCCACCACGTGGAACGAAACGCTAGACATCAGCGCTACACGGCAGCACAAACCGTGACAAACCTACGGAGCCTAATTTGTTTTTCGTCTGAGATTCAACAGGTCAAGGAGCTCGGAGCACTTTGAATTGTTAAGCTGCCTGTCACCGTTTCACCACTATTAGTGTTTTTACATGTACACATTTTTAATGCCAGCTATTAATTTCATTAGAATAGTTTGAACGTATTCCTATTCCGTTTTAATTTCCCCCCATTATCATCACATTATCTCATAATTATCATTGAATTGTTGTAATAAAAAACACATTGTAAACAATGTCAATTAGTACATTTCAATATTGTTTTTGGTCCAATAATTACGACCTTTTTACCATCGACGACATTGTCCGTAATTGTCACCGAGTTTTTTTTGTTCAATAAAAATGCCATTGGCATTGTTATAATTGTCACAATATCATGATCAAATTATCAGGCCCATCTTCTGGCTACGTTTACGAACTATCATTGCATTATCATGTGCATCCATCCATATCAACATCATCACGTCGCGATGAAATAACATTTAATGCCTTCCCCTTGTACATAGCCATTTCCTTTATTGTTTTAAAAAATCCCATATCGAAGTTTGAGTAAGCTCTTGTCACTCAGCACTTACATATTCAAAATCCAAGTCTCGTCGTCGTCTAGTGTGCATACATATACATAGCCGTTCCCACTCACACGGTTTAGTTTGATCCCTCCCCTCCGTGGAGAGTTGATTGGGATCGATCGCAGAGTCGACCCGCGTGTACGTAACGCAGCGCGGAAGTGTTCCGATGATCACGGCGCACGCCGCACATGAATGAAATATTAATGTACGTATGTATGTTGAACTTCTCTCGCGCCGTGTACGTAGCCAACCGAGGTATTGATACAGTACCTGTACATTGCGTTCGGTTATTATTGTACTTGATGGCCCAACAGTTGGGAGCGCGGTGGGACGCTGCTGTCAGACCTCCCGTGTGTGCACGTGTTGTATTCAAACGCCTCTTCCGACTGCACTGCGTCAGTGCTTGAGCATTCTAAGAATAGGCGGAGAGAGCCTGGGCAGCACACGTGTGCACCGTGCACACACTTGCTGAACATGTCGTGGAGACAGTTCCAGACGCCAAACCCACGTTCGGTTGGCACGTCGGTTTGTAAATGCATTTGTGACGCCTGCAAGCTTGCCACGTCGTGTATACAACGCCATTTGTGTCTGCGTCCCGTGCCCGATTTAAATTAACCTCTTGAGTGTCAAGCTCGTCCCATGAATATCATCACTACACGGTCCCCAATCCCGCTGACTGAGAGAGGCTGAAAGCGCTTCTTCCTCTACGTTAATAAGCTAAGTCCGTTTATGTTTTGGGCGCCTGATCAAAACTCTTTGTGTGTGTGTGTACACACCACAGCCAGCTTAATTGCCTCGTGTGTACAAGGTATTTGGGCTCTGTTGGTGGCAAGCAAGCCCATGGTTTACACTGTGTGGGCAAAAGCAATACTATTCAAGACACGGAGAACACATTGCCAGTAAATGAACAATCCATGCAGTCGCGAGGCGGGGAGGGGCACGAACCCCCCGCGGATGCTGTGTGTTGTTGGGCACGGTTAGCGTGAAGCATGTTAATGCCTGTATCCTGCCAAACTTTGTACATTGTATTAAATGCATTAAAAGGAAGCATATGTTGCGATGCAAGGTCCTGCCCGTGCCTCTCGTCTCGTTTTGGTGTCTCCGAGTTTGATGAAGTCCACTTCAGCCACCATTGGAACCTCCTTTCAAGGACAGTGCATACATTATCAGAGTTGTGTTTTTTGTTTGCATTCTGACCGCAGGTATTGTGGTCAATGCAAACATGACTCATAAAAAAGGTGTCAGTTTTGTTGCCAGATAAAATGGTAAAAAAAATTATCATCCACTTCAGCCGCTGTGTTGATTTTAAGTGATCGCCCCAAGAAATGTGTCTTATTAGCCCTATCTCCACCGCAAACCGACACCATTCGGTACAGCAAATGCAAGCGATTAACAGACTAGCATAGGACCCAGAGACATTTATCGCTGGCGAGTGTGCAGGCGGGGCAACTCAAGGGCGTAATTATCATTTATATTGGGGGGGGGGGCACATCTTCTCCAATATATTAAAATATGCTCAAAATTCCCCCCCCCCCCCCAATATATTACTATAAAGTAGATTTCTTTTTATGTGGTTATGGTTGTACTTTATAAATCCCTAATCTCTGCCATTACATATAATGAAACAAGAAAAGGTAAAAAAAGGAAAAAACAGAGCAATGTACGGTAATACAATACACTATTAGACATTATTGTTAAAAATATAAAAAAAGTCTATCCCATGTGTTGGTAAATTTTTTCATATTTTAGGCAGGAAATAGCAGGAAATTCGTTTTCAAATTTAGATTTTTTTTTTCTGGGGGGGGTAGGGGAACCCCCAGCCCGCCTGGAAGATTTGGGTCCCCACCCCCCCCCCCCCCATGTTGACCCCATGGCTCCGGTCTTGGTGCAACTGCATCCGTGGCCAATGGACCAGAGTGGCCCAGACCTCGCGCTCCGAAGAGAATTTGTACAGGGGGCGGCCCCATTTAATTCCTTGCCGGAGGGCGCCTGCCAAGCGCGCTCCGCCACTGAAGATGGTGGTGAGAAGAATAGCAAAGTTTGTGATGATGATCACAATGGTGAATGTTATGCTGGTGGTGGTGATATTGATGGATGTTGATGATAATTGATGGTTATGATGATGTTCAGCCGAGCATGCCTGGCCCATGAGTTAAACTCAATGAGAAGCACTGCTCCGTGCCAAGTCGACACTGCTGCTCTTACGGATGTACCATTTCCTGTCATGGACACGTGGAATTTCCACCAATAGCACAGTGAGGAACTGACCTTTTCAAAACAATCACCAAGACCTTTACCATTGTTTAGTCGTTGTTTTATTGCCAGACGTCGGGGGGAAAATAGATCACATTCCAGGAAATGTAAGCGTTTACTGTAAACCCAAAACGTGTATTTTAAGTGATGTGTTTACCTTCCCTCTACTTGCAGCTCATCGGATTCCCCCACTACAAATAAACATTCCGAGTGCGATTCTGGGTCCCGGCACGCCGAGCCTGCGATGGGTGACGCGGCCGCGTGTGCCGATTGGGGGGCGGGGTGCCCATTGGGGGTGCAGCTGGTTTGTGGGGGGGGGCTGGTTTTGGGGGGGGGGGCTGGTTTAGTGGGGGGCTGGTTTAGTGGGGGGCTGGTTTTGGGGGGGGCGGCTGGTTTTGGGGGGGGGGCTGGTTTTAGGGAGGGGGGGTGGTTTGGAGGGTGGGCTGGTTTTGGGAGGGGGGGCTGGTTTGGGGGGGTGGTTGGTTTGGGGGGGTGGTTGGTTTTGGGGGGGGCTGGTTTGGGGGGGGGCTGGTTTTAGGGGGGGCGGCTGGTTTTGGGGGGGGGGCTGGTTTTAGGGAGGGGGGGGTGGTTTGGAGGGTGGGCTGGTTTTGGGGGTGGTTGGTTTGGGGGGGGTGGTTGGTTTGGGGGGGTGTTTTGTGGGGGGGGGTGTTTTGTGGGGGGGGGGGCTGGTTTTGAGGGGGGCTGGTTTGGGGGGGCTGGTTTAGGGAGGGGGGCTGGTTTGGGGGGGCTGGTTTGGAAGGGGGGGCTGGTTTGGAAGGGGGGGGCTGGTTTGAGGGGGGGTGGCGCCCCTGCCCTTCCAACCCCGGGGGATGGGAGGGAGGGAGGGGTCGCGAGCTTGTCGGCGCGTGACAGCTGTCAATCACAGTGACGAAATGGCACAGAGAGTGAGATCGTTAGGAGAGTTGAGTTTCTGGAATGGAAGGGCGTTAGTTGTGTTTTAGGCGAGCTCTTTAGAAGGTATGCAGTTACATTGCTTAGTCATTTATGTTAGCTTAGGGACACGTTTATTACAGCTACATCATTCATATTGGGGGGAGAAAACTGGTTTTGCCCATCCTGGCCTTGCCCATCCTGGCCTTCATTTAGAACAGTTGCTCTTAACCTGGAATGCGAGACATCCCAGAATTGTTTTCGAATGTAAATCTATAAAACACAAGTTAAGAGCCGGCACGTAAGTACACTTACACGATGTTTTAAAAAGATGGGACCAATTTCAAAGCATTATATTTTAAGATGGCAACATGTTACAATCACACGAAAAGTTACAAGCGGTTTAATGAGTTATCTAGTTTTACTAACCATTTTATATATGCACTATGTGCCCTCCACCTGCTGTACGGACAACATCGAGACGATAGTTGAATTCGTCCCAAACGCCTCTCAAAGTGTCTTCTTCCACTGAAGTCACCGCTGCCGTGATTCTGTTTTTGAGGTCATCCAGATTAGTCGCTAATGGTGGCACAAAAACACCACGGTCTTTGACATATCCCCACCAGAAAAAGTCGCAGGGTGTGATGATGTCTGGGGATCTTGGGGGCCAAGCGTGTAGCGCCAAGTCTTGGTGTCCCGTGCGACCTATACAACGTTGAGGCAGTGTGTCTTGTGAATGACTGAGGCTAGGGGCTGTTTGTGCGCTGGGATAGGCATCGAGCGGTAATCAATTGAAACTCTATGCCCCGCCCTCTCTATGCCCCGCCCTTTCAAGTGGTAAGAGTTTCATTCATGGGCGGTTCGTGGTTGCAGAGATAACGATTTCAAATCGGGTCCATCTTTTTAAAACACCCTGTACTTTGTTTCATTAAACCCTATATTTATTAACATAAAAAATACGAATTAGAACCAAAGGGATGCAAGGCTGCAGAAAAGGTAAAAAAAAACACTGATTTAGATAAGACCGTTTACGATAGATACGATACACGGTTTTGTCCATGATGACCATGGCATTGCTCTTGTCGGCTGAGGATGACAATATCATCCCTCTTTTTCAATTGAGATAACTCAAAATGCTCTGGTGAGACACTGCCTCACCAATACATACTTCACCTGGAAAGGAACATTCTACAAACAAACTGAAGTCACCCAATGGGTTCTCCCTTATCTCCGGTTGTAGCCAATGTTTTCATGGAAAATTTTGAGATGGACGCCATCCAGGCATCCACTCTATGCCCGTCTTTGTGGAAGAGGTATGTAGATGACACGATCGTCATCTGGCCACATGGCCTACCAGCTCTGAATCAATTCCTCAACCACATCAATTCCATACACCCAGCCATCAAATTCACCATGGAGGTAGAAAAGGATGGCATGCTACCATTCTTGGATGTTTTAATCGAAAAGAGACCAGATGGCTCAACGAGCCATTCTCTCTACAGGAAAGTAACCCATACTGACGCCTACCTAAAACCTGATTCCCACCACCATCCATCCCAGAAGAATTCCCTCATCAAAACGCTACACCATAGAGCTCAATAACACTTGACCAGTAAACTCAAACACGGACACCAAGCTCTCAAGGCGAATAGATATTCCTACACAATCCGCAAAGCCATCCCCCCAACCGTGAGGAAAGAGCTATCTGAGGATCCAATAAAACCATCACCTAGCCATACATAGCAGGAGTAACCAAAAAGATTTCCAAAATCATGAACAAACACACGATCCAGGTCCGATTTAACACAGTACATCAAATTTGTTATCTGATCCCATCTGTGAAAGACAAGATTCCTGAAATGCAATATCCCAGCGTCTACAAACTAAGCTGTGTCTGTCTGTGGCAGCAGTTACATTGGGGAAACTAAGCGACATGTCTCAGACCGTGTTCGTGAACACAAGGGAGATTTGAAACACGGTAGGACCAATACTTCTGTCGTGGCTGATCATTATTTTAATGTGGCTGGCTCACACGAAGTCTATTTCTCTAAGACGATGGTACTTTGCAAGCCTACTGGCTATCAACAAAGATTTGTTCATGAAGCCATCCATATATACAGACACAATTTCAACAGAGAAGATGGTTATGAACTCAGCAATCATTGGAACGATGTCATCAACCACATTGGGTCATGACTTGATTTGTGTTTTCTTGTCAACCTTCACCGTCAGCAGTGTGTGTGGAACAAGGTGCAATGATTGCCTGGCGGCCCTTTGATTGGTGTAGTTGCTTGTCTTTCTCCTACATTAACATCAGCTGCCCCGCCCATGCTGCTGACACACTTGGGCTACGCCCAGGGTTGCGATTTCCGCATGGAAAATGCGGAAGGAGGGTTCAAATTTTCCCGCATTTTTGCTAAAGTCAACCGCAAACGGTGGAAAGACTACTCCTATGACCGCGCGCTTTTAACAACACGTTAATGCGTTCTATTGGAAAGGATACATGCAAGGCCCAGCATCACGTAGGGCTTCGAGTTACTGATTGGAATGAATATATGATTTCCGCATTTCCGCACAAGAACCACATACTTTATTCAAATGCGGAGCCGTGATTACGAGCACATGTACATGATGTATCCTTTCCAATAGAACGCATTAACGTGTTGTTAAAAGCGCGCGGTCATAGGAGTAGTCTTTCCACCGTTTGCGGTTGACTTTAGCAAAAATGCGGGAAAATTTGAACCCTCCTTCCGCATTTTCCATGCGGAAATCGCAACCCTGGCTACGCCCATCTCTAAACCTTTATAAACAGTTTGCCTTTCGAGGCTAACCCCCCTTCTCCTGATGACAACCGCTTATGTTGCAATCGAAACGTCGTGGTTTTTGTTTTTATTTTATTTATATTATTTTTTATTCACTTTATTTTTTATTATTATTTTTCTTTTTACCAAAAGAATCAAAAGAATATTAATTCCTGCAGTCACGAAATTTAAAAAATACTCAGCACCCACTCACCGATCAATCACCAAACATTTATCTAGGTCTGCAAAGTGTTGTATCTGTATGTTTCGAAGGGTATTGAATCAAAATAATGCAACACATTTTCAAAAAAAAATTAGATGTTTCTGTTCTCCCAAATGTGGGAGGCCGAAATGTCAAACGTTTAATTTTCTAACTTACACCGATGTAAACATTATTGGTATTTTGGGACCTCCAACATTGGGGTGGTCATTACCTTTGAATTTTTTTTATAAGTGTTTGTGCGAAATACAAAATAGACATCAAATAATTACATTTCACAGGTGGGTTCATGACGACTTTAATGCTGATAGAAATCAGGGGTGGGCGATTGCTACGAGTGAAAACAGGACCCTGCGGGGTGGGCTGGTAGGAATAATACTTAGTACCGGTACAGGGATATCGACCGGGTATAGAGGAGTTAAAGAAAAAAATACTGTATTCTAGTGTAACGTTAATTAAGTGTTTGTTTTGACAAGAAACGCTTAGCGAAGCCTTCTGCACTAGGCCTCGCGAAGCCTTCTCTGCAGTAGACTTAGCGAAGCCCTCTGCACTAGGCCTCGCGAAGCCTGCTGCACTAGGCCTCGCGAAGCCTCTGCAGTAGACTTAGCGAAGCCTTCTGCACTAGGCCTCGCGAAGCCTTCTCTGCAGTAGACTTAGCGAAGCCCTCTGCACTAGGCCTCGCGAAGCCTGCTGCACTAGGCCTCGCGAAGCCTCTGCAGTAGACTTAGCGAAGCCTTCTGCACTAGGCCTCGCGAAGCCTTCTCTGCAGTAGACTTAGCGAAGCCTTCTGCACTAGGCCTCGCGAAGCCTTCTCTGCAGTAGACTTAGCGAAGCCTGCTGCACTAGGCCTCGCGAAGCCTTCTCTGCAGTAGACTTAGCGAAGCCTTCTGCACTAGGCCTCGCGAAGCCTGCCGCACTAGGCCTCGCAAAACCTTCTCTGCAGTAGACTTAGTGAAGCCTTCTGCACTAGGCCTCGCGAAGCCGCGCTTTTCGTGCACAAATAAGGCGATTAAATGTATCTCGTCTCTGTGTTAAAAAAACATGCTGCGTTTCAGTAAAGTAAATTTGAAGCGAAGTTTAAAGTTTCGCCGTGAGGCGCCGGAAGCGACGGCCATCTTGTTTAGTTGACAGATCGCAGGGGGAGCGGGCGGCCATCTTGTCGGACAGGGTCATGCCAAGTGTTTGCAGTAGGGGGCGATGTTGATACACGGACGGACGGACACATTAATCTATTGGTGGTCTGGTCCACTTCGTTCCTACCAGTAACAGGACCCTGCGGGGTGGGCTGGTAGGAATAATACTAATACCGGTACAGGGATATCGACCGGGTATAGAGGAGTTAAAAAGAAAATGATTTGTGCATGGGGGGTGAGCGATGACGTCCACACCCCCCTCCCCACTGACTCGCGCGCACACAGAGCAATGACGTCAACACCCCCCTCCCCACTGACTCGCGAGCCCACGGAGCAATGACGTCACCACCCCCCTCCCCACTGACTCGCGAGCCCACAGAGCGATGACGTCCACACCCCCCTCCCCACTGACTCGCGCGCCCACAGCAAGGATTGCAACAGGCGATGTCATTGGCTGCGCCGGATGCGACGGCCATCTTGTTTAGTTCATTTAGTTCACGGATCGCAGGGGGAGCGGGCGGCCATCTTGTCAGAGAGACGGACGGCCTCGTGAAGCCTGTCGCAGTAGGCCTCGCGAAGCCTCCTGCAGTAGGCCTCGCGAAGCCTTCTGCACTAGGCCTCACGAAGCTTTCCCTGCAGTAGGCCTCGCGAAGCCTTCTCTGCAGTAGGCCTCGCGAAGCCTTCTCTGCAGTAGGCCTCGCGAAACCTTTTCCGCAGTAGGCCTCGCAAAGCCTGCCGCACTAGGCCTTGCGCCGTGCTTTTCGTGCACAAATAAGGCGATTAAATGTATCTTGTCTCTGTGTTAATAAATGTATCTTGTCTCTGTGTTAAAAAAACGTGCTGCGTTTCAGTAAAGTAAATTTGAAGCGAAGTTTATTATTACACTTGTTAAGCCAGGAAAGCCCCACTGAGTCAAAAGGTTTTTGTAGGGTCCTGCCAAGTGTTTGCAGTAGGGGGCGATGTTGCTACACCAAATCGGACGATACGAAGGGAGAGATTGAGGCCTAGTTCTAGGCTTTAGGCCTAGCTGTAGGCTTTAGGGTGCTGTGAGTTAATTTTTTATTTAAATGTTTTAATGATTTATGTAAAAGCTTTAAATGTAAATGTTTCTATTTAAAAACATGAGGGAATGTAACATTGTTAAACATAACTCCCTTTCACACACGCGGGGGTACGATACGAAGGGAGAGTTTCAGGCCTAGTTCTAGGCTTTAGGCCTAGCTGTAGGCTTTATGGCGCTGTGAGTTTTTTAAATTTAATTTCAAAGTTTTAATTAAAAGCTATCTAAGGGAATAAGGGAATGTTACACTTGTCATGCCAAGTGTTTGCAGTAGGGGGCGATGTTGCTACCAGGATAGCGTCACTGAGTCTAAAGGTTTTTGTAGGGTCATGCTAAGTGTTTGCAGTAGGAGGCGATGTTGATACACGGATGGACGGACGGACACATTAATCTATTGGTGGTCTGGTCCACTTCGTTCCTACCAGTATAAACACCGAGTATCATTTCCAGTCTTGAGAGTTCAGGTTATCCTATCGTTTTATACTTACACAGTCAATCGACAGATAACATGTGGTGGAGAGTAAGGGGCCGTTCATAAATGACATCACGCACCTGGGGGGGGGGGGGGGTCAGACAGGGGGGGAGGGTTGATAAATGTGACGTCACATCAAAATGCGCAACTTTAAATAAATATAAACACGTAGAAAGAAAAACATCTTTCTGTGGATTTCACACTTGATGATGATGGCTTGTGTTGAAGTCGAAACGTCGTGAGAATTTTTATTGTTTTATATTTATATTATTTTATTATTTCCCTTCTACGTGACTTTACCGAAAGAACCAAGAATATGAATCCCTACAGTCACGAAAGCTTTAAATCACGTTCTACTTAATTAAATATACTTTTTAATAAATGTTTTCTCCTACAGCATCAGAGTGCAGCGCCACATTAAATACGCACTACAATGACAATAGTTTTAAGCGATTTGAAGCATTTTTTATGGTTTGGGGGGAGGCAGAGTTTTGTGACGTCGTGTGACGAGGGGGGGGGGTCAAAATCGTCCAAAATCGCGTGACGTCATTTATGGACGGCCCCTAAAGCGTTGGTCCTCGTCTCCCCCACCCTCACCCAACATGGCGCCCTCCGCGTGACACCGCGCGGCCATCTTGGGCAGGGGCTACGGCACAGCCACCCCTTTCCCACCCTCACCCAACATGGCGCCCTACACACGTCACAACCGCGCGGCCATCTTGGGCAAGGGGCTGCGTTACAGTCACCCCGCGGCCCCCACCCCTCACCCACCCCCTCACCCAACATGGCGCCCCCGGAGCTGCACCGCGCGCCCTTTCCTCTCTACGCCGTCGCCGTCCTCTCCGACAGCCTCGTCGTGGTGGGCGGCGGAGGCGGCGCGGCGAAGACGGGCATCAAGAACGCGCTGGTGAGGAGGGCGACGAGGGAGCGGCGGCCGTCCGAGTTCGCCTCCTCCCCCCCGTGTACACGAAGCGAGGGCGAACGCCGGCGGCTTTCAGATTTCGCACAGCGCATCGGGCGTCTCGCCGCAACGCCGCGCCCCCATTGGTTGCGGCGCGACCACGCGGGGCCGCGCAGCCAATGGGGGCTCCGCGTTGCGGCGGGCCGCGCTAATGTGCGCTGGGAATTGTGGATGGGGGGGGTCGGTGCTGTTGATGTTTCTTGCACGGCGCTCCGGGGTTGAACTTGGGGGGGGGGCCCGGCCCCCCTCGCTCCACGTGCCCCCCTCGATCCTCGTACCCCCCTACCCCCCTAAGAGCGGCTGCCGAGGAGGGGTTGGTTGGGGGAGAGGCCCACGGGGTTGCCGCTGTGCTGACGTGGCCCCCTCACGAGGCAGGCGATGGGGGCAGCAGCTGTTGTTGATGGTTGTTGATGTTTGTTGTTGTTGATGTTTGTTGTTGTTGATGGTTGTTGATGTTTGTTGTTGATGATGGTTGTTGATGTTTGTTGTTAATGTTTGTTGTTGTTGATGGTTGTTGTTGATGTTTGTTGTTGTTGATGGTTGTTGATGTTTGTTGTTGATGGTTTGGGACACGTAACCCCCCTTGTTGTTGCTGCTGTACGACTCGTGGGTGGAAAAAACCCGATTTTTCCAGCGGCAGGCATCGGGTTTTTTTCTTTAATACAATTAAACCCGATTTTGGGGAGTTAAAACCTGGTTTAATGAAAACGAAGCTCTGATCCAAGGCTTAGGCTGCTTCCTCGTCGTTGCTGCTATCATCGTACTCGGGGGGCCGTCGGGCACGGGGTAGTCGTAGAATGCGGCGGGCAGGTTGGTCTTGATGAACACGAGATTCTTCTCCACAATCGTGGGCGCCGCCAGTGAGTTCCTTAGCTTGGAATGGATGAAGCCCATCGTTGCGAAGTGCGGTTCTGCAATTAGAACCAATTAAACCGGATTTCTCCCAATCTCAGAGGATCGGGTTTAATATAAAAAGACAAACCCGATTGTAAAAAACCTGACTGTGCCACCCTTGGTACGACTCACTCTCGGCGGCGGACTTTGTCAACCCCACCCACCCCCCACCACCACCCCACCCACCCCCCACCACCCCACCCACCCCCCACCACCCCCACCCCCCACCACCACCCCACCCCCCACCACCACCCCACCCCCCACCACCCCCCCCACCACCACCCACCCCCCACCGGATGAGAGCCCTTTCGTCCGCACTTGAACCCCGGCGGGTTCCCGGGTGGAGGAGGAGGGTTGGCGTAGTCGTGGCAGTCTGTACGTGACCACTGTGGAGTTGCCTCCACTGCCACTAACACGGCAGCAATGTGCCGAGTGCGTGGTGATCCGTCGCGCTAACGAGCACTGTCCAGTTGAAATTTGAAGCTTTCGTGCTGCGAGGATTCATACTCTTAGGTTTTTTCGGTAAAGTCAAAAATAAAAGTAAATAATAAAGTCAAAAATAAAAGTAAATAATAAAAATAATAGAAATAAAATAAATATTATTTTATTTCTATTATTTATATGAATTACTATTTTATTTCTATTCTATTATTATTTCTACTTATATTATTTTTATTTTCACCTACGTGACTTTACCGAAAAAACCTAAGAGTATGAGCACTATCCAGTCTCAATGCCTCGCGTGCTTGGCTTCTGATTTCTGAATAAGTCGGGCGAATTCTGGTTGATACGGACAATAGCTACTGCAACCTCATCATGCGCACTCGATTAACAATCACGAGCGCCGCCGTCATCCTGCATTGTTAATACGTCCAATCGGAGAGGGGAGCGGTGGTGCAATGGTTGGCGCACTGCAGCAATGTAAACCGGGAGATGTTTTAAGTTTTACTGGTAGGAACCACCTGGTTCCACCAGCCCACAGGGAATTATTGTGTCCGTCTGTCCGTCGTGCATCCAAAAATGGGAGGGGTGGGGCTGGGTGGGGAGGGGCTGGGTGAGGAATGGCTGGGTGGGGGGGTGGGAGGGGTGGGGCTGGGTGGGGGGTGGGAGGGGTGGGGCTGGGTGGGGAGGTGCTGGTCACCCCGTGGTGCCCTTATAAAATTCAACGTTTCACCTACTCACGCCGGCTTGTGCCCGCCCTCGCAGTCGGGCATATTTGCGGAATACACCACGCCGCCGTTGACCCTGGCCATTGACCGAGTAACCCAACGTTCTTACCAGCTCCCTCCGCCCTCCGCAGGAATGTGTTATTTCCCTGCCACGGCTGACATCGATGGCGAGCGATGTACACGGCATGTTGCGCATTCGGTACAGAGGCACACTCCTCGTTCAGCGCGTTGCCGATAGTCACTCGTGAGAGATGGAGGCGGCTTGGAGAGGCTTCATCCAGCAGTGGATTGGCCATGGCTGCTGCACGTACGCTGGACTTCTTTCGCACCGTGCGTGGCCAACCGTGCTAATCGGAGGTGCGGGAAGTTCGCTGATCGAATTCATATTTATAGAGCAGCGCCTTCACTCAAGGCGCGTGGCATCGCTTACAGAACGATGACACTACATTGACACGTACAACTTATACTATGCTCATACGTTTACCATAAACAATGATTCGCGTATCGTAGATTGCTCTTTACACGCAATAAGCGAATTGCATCACATCGTATCTCATTTGGAATGGGCACCCCCAGTGGCAGCTGGCCCTGAGCCCATAGGGCGACTCGGCATCGGCCTGCGAGCGGGCATTAGCTCCCAGTAGGGGGCGATGTTTTGCTATTTAATACAATACAATATGCTCCTTATACGTGTACAGTACACCCAATACGTACCCATTAGGGAGGTTGTCGAGATGAACGACGGTGGTGGTGAGATGTTAACCACTTCACCTGGTATACAGGAGGGTTAGTGGGTTCGATCCAGACCCAGACGCCTGCTGTATAGTTGGAGGTTTCATGTTCTCCCCGTGGTCGCGTGGATTTTTCTCCCGCCACGTTTAGAAACGTGTTTCGAGTATTTGCTGTAAATTTCCACATGATGGGCCTACTTCATTGGGCTATCATTTGTGGGCAGGTCGTTTCTGAAAAAGAGCTATAGAGTCCAGTGGGCCTGACCTGGTCAAATAAAACATAGTTTAGTTGAAGAATATCGTCGGCAAATACGCCACAAACTAAAGGTTGTGATTTTTATTCAGCCGCTCGGCAATTTAAGCCGACAACTTCAGCGTTGTAGCCAAAGGAGGGAACGCAAACGAGAGTACGGAAAATGCAGAGATGGAGCAGTGAAATCAGCTCGTGTGCAGGAGCTACATGCATTCATGTGTCACTGAACCATGAGAGGTTGCGAGGGTTGGGGGGGGAGGGGCGCTTCATCCTGCTGTGGATCGATCATGGCTCATGATGATAGCTCAATACCATACACTATCCATACAAAGATGCTAAATATAATCCAGTATACACACACCCAATAACGTTTATATACATATTACATTCTTGATGCTTAATCTATATATATAAAATCGTTCATGTCTGTCTGTCTGTGTGTGTGTGGACTTTGGCCCATACGCACTTTCATTGGACGGCGGTTGCCCCTGGCAACGGCTAGCCACGCCTTCGCCGCTTTCATTGGACCTGGCAACGGCTAGCCACGCCTTCGCCAAGGGCTGCAGTTTCATTGAACGGCGGTTGCCCCTGCCAACGGCTAGCCACGCCTTCGCCACTTTCATAAGCTCCGTATTTAATTAAATAATAGCCATTACACAGTATTGTTGGAGCGCTAGGGGGGGGGGAAGGAACGCCACCCGTACCCTGCCTCTTCCAAGCCGACAATTTTAGGCGAGGCCGCAGGCTTTGCACGCTACTAGGCCTCGACACCCACCACGCCACTCTGAGGTAAATTCATCAAAGTTTTTCCTACTCTTCACTACACCCCCACCACAATGTGTGCTATTAATATTACTTTTAAACCCAACGCGCCAACAATCGATTACTTTAATGTTCACTGTACAAATACTCATTTAGCTGGGTGAGCGTACTGCCAGTCTATCATGTACACTGTAGCCTGCTTATTAAGCTCGGTGAGCGTACTGCCACTCTATCATGTACACTCTAGCCTGCTTATGAAGCTGAGTGCGTGTACTGGCAGTCTATAATGTGGACTCTTGCCTGGTTATTATAATCGATTCTTTATATGTTCTTTGTACAAACAGTCATTAAGCTGCTTGAGCGACCCCAGTTCGATTCCAACTCACGCCCACCACCGCTGACGATTATTTGAAACGGACCTGGCCCTCCCCTAGGTCCACTCAGCCTCAAAAGCGTAACTGCTGTCGTGTGTGAACATCGTCACTGGGGAGACAAAGGCGGCGGGGCATCGTGGATCCAAGTCCCGGGCGAAGCCGGGTCATGTGTATGTGTGTTTGTGTTTATGTGTATGTCTGTGTGTCTCTATGTATGTGTGTATGTATGTGTATGTATGTGTTTGTGTGTATGTGTGGTGTATGTATGTGGGTTTTTTTTATGTCTTTATGTGTATGTCTGCGTGTCTCTATGTATGTGTGTATGTACGTGTGTGCATGTGTTTGTGTGTATGTATGTGTGTGTCTATGTATGTGTGTGTCTATGTATGTGTGTGTATGTGTGTGTATGTATGTGTGTTATGTGTCTGTCTGTGTCTGCATGTATGTGTGTGTGTATTGTGTATGTGTTTGTGTGCATGTATGTGTGTGTTTGTGTGTATGTGTATGTCTGTGTGTATGTGTTTGTGTGTATGTGTGTATGTATGTGTGTGTATGTGTTTGTATGTGTTTGTGTGTTTACGCTCGCATTACACAAATGTGTTGCTGGTCTAAGGCGTTCCTCGCACAGCATTGCCGCTTTATTATTTCTGTCGTTTACTGCCTTACGCACCCTGAAAGTCGTGTGTGTCTGCAGCAAGCGCGTGTATGTGTACCTATGGACGCGCGCGCGTGTGTTGTGTAGGGGGAACGGTAGTGTAGTGCTTAGCGTGCTGTCTGTGTCTGTGTGTGTGTGTCTGTCTGTGTCTGTCTGTGTGTGTCTGCGTGTGTCTGTGTGTGTGTCTGTGTGTGTGCGTGTGTGGTGTGTGGGGAGCGGTAGTGTAGTGCTTAGCGTGCTGTCTGTGTGTGTGTGTGTCTGTCTGTGTCTGTCTGTGTGTGTCTGCGTGTGTCTGTGTGTGTGTCTGTGCGTGTGTGGTGTGTGAGGAGCGGTGGGTGTAGTGCTTAACGCTACGCTGCGCTACCAACCCGGCGAACCCAGTTCCATTCCCGCTCACGGCCACCACCGGTGACGATTATTTGAACCTCCCCTAGGTCCACTCAGCCTCAAACGAGTAACTGGTGTGGCGTATTAACATCGGCACTTGGGAGACCAAGGCGGCTGGGCGTGGTAGATCCAAGTCCCGGGCGAAGCCGGGTCATGTGTATGTGTTTATGTGTATGTCTGTGTGTCTGTATGCATGTGTGTTTGTATGTGTGTGTATGTGTTTGTGTGTATGTCTGTGTGTGTATGTATGTCGGTTTTGCCGCCGTGGTGGATCCAAGTCCCGGGCGAAGCCGGGTCATGTGTATGTGTTTATGTGTATGTCTGTGTGTCTGTATGCATGTGTGTATGTATGTATGTGTGTATGTGTTTGTGTGTATGTCTGTGTGTGTATGTATGTCGGTTTTGCCGCCGTGGTGGATCCAAGTCCCGGGCGAAGCCGGGTCATGTGTATGTGTGTATGTGTTTATGTGTATGTCTGTGTGTCTGTATGCATGTGTGTATGTATGTGTGTGCATGTGTTTGTGTGTATGTATGTGTGTGTCTATGTATGTGGGTTTTTTTGTATGTGTTTATGTGTATGTCTGCGTGCCTGTATGTATGTGTGTATGTACGTCTGTGGATGTGTTCGTGTGTATGTATGTGTGTGTCTATGTATGTGTGTGTATGTGTTTCTGTGTTTGTATGTGTGTGTATGTATGTGTGTTATGTGTCTGTCTGTGTGTCTGCATGTATGTGTGTGTGTATTGTGTATGTGTTTGTGTGTGTTTGTGTGTTTACGCTCGCATTACACAAATGTATAATGCGGGTCTAAGGCGTTCCTTACACAGCATTGCCGCTTTATTATTTCAGTCGTTTACTGCCGTATGCGCCCTGAAAGTCGTGTGTGTCTGCAGCAAGCGCGTGTATGTGTACCTATGGACGCGCGCGCGTGTGTTGTGTAAGGGGAACGGTAGTGTAGTGCTTAGCGTGCTGCCTGTGTGTGTCTGTGTGTGTGTGTCTGTGTGTGTGTCTGTGTGTGTGTCTGTGTGTGTGCGTGTGTGGTGTGTGGGGAGCGGTAGTGTAGTGGTTAGCGTGCTGTGTGTGTGTGTGTTTCTGTCTGTGTGTGTCTGCGTGTGTCTGTGTGTGTGTCTGTGTGTGTGTCTGTGCGTGTGTGGTGTGTGAGGAGCGGTGGGTGTAGTGCTTAACGCTACGCTGCGCTACCAACCCGGCAAACCCAGTTCGATTCCCGCTCACGGCCACCACCGGTGACGATTATTTGAACCTCCCCTAGGTCGACTCTGCCTCAAACGAGTAACTTAACTACTGTAGCGTATTAACATCGCCACTGGGGAGACAAAGGCGGCCGGCCGTGGTAGATACAAGTCCCGGGCGAAGCCGGGTAGTACAGCTAGTAATGTAGTATAATCATTATCAGCAATTTGTGTGGGTTTCTCTGATTCTAAAACTAGATTGATATTGTAACCTTGAGCATTATGAAGAGTATTGGAGATGCAGCATCTGCCTTCAATAGCCCATGTGTACGTATAATAGAATGTGCCTATGTCCTTTCATTATATCCGTCAAACACACTTCACCTGCTCGTGCATGTCCATAAGTATTTGCCGATTTTTCAGGCATTCGTGAGATCAATAATTTAATGGGACACCGAGTCGAATGCCTTTGTGAAATCTACTCAAGTCAGACATTCAGTCTTGCAGTCTATTCTGAGCTCTTTTTTAAAAGGTTTATTTGACTGCCATGCTTCCTAGGCATCATCTCTTTGAACATAGTGCCTTTTTTAAAATCTGGTATACATTTCCTTTGTGAGTGTGGAGTAATAATATTTAACACAGAAATAAGTTTATTTATACATTGTATTCAAACTACATATTGGTGGGAAATCCTTCAGCATAGTGGTTCCTGCCTACTGTGGCATTAAGTGGGTCAATCCTGCGGTAAACCACTTTTGATGGCTTTGTGAGGATTTTATTTCGTGGCTCTGCTATTGGGTCTTAGCTTGATGTCTTTTTATAGAGTAACCTAATTCTCAGTAACCTAATTACATACATCAGGTGTAGCCCAAAACCTACATCTTGTGAGCAATTGATTGACTGCCGTCACCTGTGATTTCAGATGTATGTCGTTTTGTGGGGTCGTTTTTACTAAATACGATCCTTTTACGATAGAGCTGCTTCAAAAATGATTCACGTAATTGCGGGTTGTTTTGTTTTGGCCTTATTCATGTTCATTGCATGTCCATGTTGAGCAAAGTCTGCTTGCCCTTTCGTACTCTAAATTGATCTGTTACCCCACAAGGCAGGTGCATTCTGAAATGTAATTCCAGGTTTCTGCTTTCACAACTGGGTTTGCCACCAGCGATGGCAGGAGGAAATAAAAAGTGTAAGATAATTGTTTGAGCAATGCTGACATTCATAGGTGGCTTTAAGGAGCTCTGGTGACATAGCTTGACTGTAAGGTGCAAGGTTCAGAATCTGGGATGCTGAATTGACTGTAAGACACTGAATTATGAAGTAGCTGTAAGGAAGTGCAATCAGGAGATGACTTGTGCCTCTTTTTCCCCTGCACAACCCAGTCATGTCGTGGCCATGCGGAGCCAGCACGGCTTGGGATCACGTCAGGTTGATTTTTCATCGCAGAATCGGAGCCATGCGGCTGGCATCACATGCACTGACTAAGTCGTGATGCACGTAGATCACCAAGTGATGCCGTGAGTTCTACTGACATGCAATGAATACGCCGTTTACCCCGGGCGTAGATCTGCTTGGCCTATAGTCAGATTAAAGGTGTGTTGTGAGGTGAGCATCATACGGTTTGGTTCTGGTTCAGCTTAGCAAATAACCTGTGGGAAGACCCACGCTGGCTCAGCTCAGATGCGCCAAGGGCTAAGGGGGCACCAGATACCGGTGAAGCAAAGAAGAGGGGGTTGTTGACGCTTCCCGTGGCCTGTGCCGACAGCACTTCCTGCGCGTGGAATGGATCTCGGGGCGACCCTCGGCCTCTCTCCTCTGCAGCCACGACACGCAAACGCGCGCCGTCATGAACCTGGCAGCATGCGCGCCCCTACCGCCCTCCATCGCCAACGCAAACAACGCCGCTCACGCTGCTGCCAACAATGCCAAGGGCCAAGGCAAGAAGGCAGGGGAGAAGGCGAGTCGCTTTGTACAACTATGATCTTCTGCCTTGTTGAGCATGTGCTGTTCTCTCAAGCTATTGCCGCATGCTACTTCGTGCAATTCCTGAAGATCAAGTTTCTCCTTTCTGATTTGTTTTTTGTTACTGCATGTTCTCTCGGTGTGCCTGTTCTATCATTACAAATGGTTTATATATTTTTTTTATGTATATACAGTGGTACCCGGTATGCGTCGTTAATTCGTTCCAGAAGGTAGGACTTATACCGAAAATGACGTAGACACCAAACGAATTTTTCTCATAAGAAATAAAGGGAAAGGAAATAATCCGTTGCGGAGTATAAGAAATGGTATTTTATATGGCATATTATACATTAATGGGGTTGTATAAAATAATTTACACTACTTGTTACTAAAACGCATACATAAATTAAAATAAATGCATAAATAAATTATAATAAATTGAAATAAAAAATAAATTTAACATCACTTTACCTTGTTGAGAGGAGTTGAATGAATTCGCAAAAAATTCACGTTAAAATGACAAAAAACACGTGAAAATTCAGAGTTACAGCAAGGGTTGTGCACCGAATGAGATCTCCTGTACAGGCAGACTGAGGAGCGGCGCTTTGTTTCAGTTGTGAACGGGGCATACGCGGGTACGCGGTGACTCATCCCGACCCATACAAGTTCTAGCAAGTGCGTCGTATCCCAAGCAAGACGTCGTATCCCAAGAAATGTTTTTCTCGTCAAAACACGACGTATACCAAATTCGACGTATTCCAAAGCAGTCGTATACCGAGATATGACTGTACTGTAAATATATGAAGGCATTTATTAGAGCATGGATAAATGCATCAGTTTCCACTTCATCAATGGTAGAATAAGTAGAAACTGGCAGGCATCATGGTGCTTAATATTAATCTGCTCTCATGGTTGGGTGGCTTCTAAATTGATCGTCATTCAGTTCTGTTTGAGCTTCACGAAGCGTTAGTCTGTGTGATTAGAGGCTACACGCACGTGTACAGCCGCTCTGTCAAACTACTGCTGGATGAAGACCACCCCACCCCATGTGGGTTATGGTGCCTATTTGACCATACTTCACCGCGCTGGTTAGTGCAGACTGAAGGCAAGGAGGGCGTAGGTTACGCAACATTAGTATGATGTATGTGTGTGTGTTGAACGTCTCACCGTACGTAGCCAACAACAATGGATGTTTGTGCTCTGCCCTCTACTGTCGATGATGTTGGCCACCAATCCAAGCACTATACAGGCCCAACGTTGCTTGGCTGTCGAAATTGGACGACTTTGGTCGCACTTTTAAATTTAGATTGAAGACTCATTTCTTTAGAGCTGCTTTTCGTGTTTAGTTTGTTGTCCTTACCCCGCACTTTACCATTAGCACGGTTGGCTCCGTACGGTGCGAAAGAAGTCCAACATACATACACTTGGTCGCTTAGGCTCATGGGACATACACAACTGTACAAAATAAGACAGCAAATTCCAGAAAGAATAAAAGTATCGGTCTATTGAATCGAACCACGATGCCCAATCGTGACGAGTCGTCGCATCGCTGGAGCGAGCGAACCTTCACATCCCGAGAGCGATGGTTATTGTTGATGATGTTAGCGCTCCTGCTGCTGCTGCTGCTAGTTGTGAATGGCGCTGTGGTGGTGGCGGTGGCGAGTAGGGCGCTGCGGCCGCGTTGGAGAGCGGCGTGCTGGCTGTCGGCATGGACGGGGACTGCCACGTCCTCCGCTATGACGAGGTGCCCGCCGAGAGCCGCGCAGCGCCGCCCGCCGGTGGGTGTCTTTCCCCGGGAGGGGGGGGGGGGCGACAATTGACCGTCTTCAGGAATTAATGTTACTTTCTCAAGGCCTAGGGTGCCTGCATGGACCCACACAGATCTTTCATCAATCCACTGCTGGATGAGGGCCTCCTCATAGATGGAGCATCATTTTCTCCTAAATAAAGTCACGTGACAAAGGAGAGGTCTGTTTGCTCAACCTTAGACCATATAACGATGAATCGTTTAATCCATTTATATCTATTGTCACATTTATGATACAACATGTAATCATCGCTTCTTATTTTTGGAACTTTAATTTGCTTTAGCTATGCTAAGAATTCACCACGGGGATGAAACAATTACATGCTTACTAAACATAGAAATCATTTATTTATATATCCTGCTCCATGCTATGATAACAATAAACAGCATGGCACACCTCCTGGAAAACCACATTGCTTAAAGCGGTCGACTATGAAATGCTTTCCAACCAAGGTTGAAAGGGTTCATGCAGAGCTCTGTCAGTCCGTCAATCAATCTGTCCTTAACTGCAGGGGTGCATGATGACTCAATATTGACCAAATTGGTGGAAAGTTCTGTTGCTAGGAGGGACTTAAACCCTGTTCAAAACTGGAGAATTTGATCAAACGGGTGCCCTAACCTAGGAGACACAATCCAGAGCAAAAAATTACTATTTTCAAATCTGCAAACGCATATTGCCTAAACAGATGTCCGTCAGCTTCCGTGCTGCTCATCAAATAAAATTCTTCCGAGAAAACACACGTTGGCACGCGTTACGAAATGCACGCCGATGCCTGATCCTTCCTGACGTGCTTCGTTTGAATGCCTTACACAGAAAAGGGGCGGCAGAGGAAAAAGGGAAAAGCGGAGGGCAAGGCGGAGGGGGGTAAGGCGGAGGGCAAGGCGGAGGGCAAGATGGCAGAGGGGGGCAAAGCAGAGGAGGGCGAGACGCGTAACGAGACGCCGCAGCTCCAGCTGGAGAGCCTGCACGTGGTGCAGAGCGACGTGAGCGCCGACAGCGTGCAGAAGTCGGTCCGCTTCAACGCCGACTCGACGCTGCTCGCCACAGGCGGTGTGGACGGGCACCTGCGCGTATGGGAGGTACATCCTCACGCGGTGGGGGTAGGACGGTTGTTCGTTTGCCGTGCGCGTCGATAGGGCGGCATTTGCGCTTCTCCGATGCTTAACGTGCCGCTGTGCTGTGCTTGTGCAGTTCCCCGACATGAAGCTCTTGCATGACATCGAGGCTCACAAGGATGAGGTGGAAGACCTGGATTTTGGACCCAGCAACACGGTGGGGCTATCGTACCTGTCGCACGTTCTGTTATTTATGGGGTATGCACATTGTGGGCGTTGTTGAGAAATTTAAGTGGGTTGGAGCAGGACATGCCTGAGAGGACAATATCTGCAGAGGTGTAGCGATGAAACCAGGTTCAGTTCATGGACAGGAGCGTGATGGATTGTGGCATTTCAGGACCATGACAGATCACAATAGAATGGGGACGCCTGCATTTAGCGTCAGATGGACAAGGTTTTCACATCTCCTGTCGAGTAGCGCCGCAGTTCTGCAGGTTTTACAGATAACTTTAAATCCCTGTCCGCTTAACAGCTGAAAATAATTAAATAGTCTAACTGAGAAAATATTTAGTTCAATCAAGGATTCTATTTTAATTAGCTCCGTTTCAATAAGTAGACAGAATATACTGTGGCCCTTGATGACCGGAGTTGTGCATCCCATGGGTAGACCGTCGCTGATGATGTCTGTGTGTGTGTTTCTTTGTCTTGGCACCTGCGCATGTGTGTGTGAACGTCGGGAGCGATAGCGTAGTGGTTAGTGCATTTCACTACAAACCCAGCGGCTTGATTTCAATTCCGGGTCATGGCTGACGTGAGTGCCGAGTAATCTGAACCTCCTCGAGCTCAGCGGTGGCCAACTGCGTCTCCCGAGCCGCATGCAGCTCTTTGATCCACCACGTGGGGCTCTACCGTAGAGGCACAATGTAGAACGTGCTGTCACAGTGGTAAAGCATAATAATGAATGTCTCCCGTGCTATACAGAAAACTGTCAATAATTACACTTGTACATAAACTTGGCTCTTTGCAGAACTCATGGGTGCTCTTTGGCTCTTGGTCTGTTACAGATTGGCCACCCCTGCTCTAGGTCGACTCCATTAATTGCCTTCCTGGTGCAGTTTTAAATCAGCATTGGGCTGTCAAGGGCAGCCTTGCGTGGTTGCTGGTCACACCACCCCCTCATGCCGCAATGTGTGTCTGTGCGTGTGTCTGTGTGCGTGTACGTGTGTGCGTGTATCTGTGTGCGTGTGTCTGTGTGTGCGTGTGTCTGTGTGTGCGTGTGTGTGCGTGTGTCTGTGTGCGTGTATCTGTGTGCGTGTGTGTGTGTGCATGTGTCTGTGTGTGTGTGTGCGTGTGTCTGTGTGCGTGTGTCTGTGTGTGCGTGTGTCTGTGTGTGCGTGTGTGTGTGTGTGCGTGTGTCTGTGTGCGTGTATGTGTGCGTGTGTGTGTGTGCGTGTGTGCGTGTGTCTGTGTGTGTGTGTGCGTGTGTCTGTGTGCGTGTGTCTGTGTGTGTGTCTGTGCGTGTGTGTGCGTGTGTATGCGTGTGTGTGTGTGCGTGTATGTGTGTCTGTGTGTGTGTGCGTGTGTCTGTGTGTGTGTGTGTGTCCGTGTGTGTGCGTGCGTGTGTGTGCGTGTGTCTGTGGCGATGCGCGCGACCAGTTGGTGTCCGTGGGGCGCGACTTCTCGTGCAGCGTCTGGCAGAAGGGGCTGCTCATGCTTGGCCTCGACTGGAATAAAGCCAAGCCCGACGTTCCCGACAAGACGTACCGCTTCCGTGCCTGCAGGTGCCGCATCCGCTGGAAGCAACAAGTCCCTACAGCGGTCACACGTGGAAGGGCCGGGCAGCCTCCGAGCCTATATCCATGTCAGCTATTTAAATACGAGATTTGGGATTTGGCTGCGTTATGCTTTTCAGCACTGGACCCAGCGCCTTGGCGGGAGTAACGATGGTGGATTGGTGGAGGATAGGAATGTAGCTTAGAGCAGACTTATATTCATGTCTGGCCACATTTCTGTTTATTTAAATTAGCGGCCTATTCTCAATGATATTAACATCCGGACTCTTTCAGATATTACCACTCACAGATCTTAGTCGTGACCATGAATCGAACTCAAGTTGCTGGGTTCATAACGCAGCGCGCTAACCACTGAGTCGCTGCCCATTCACCGACCAGCACTGTGTGATCAAGCAGCCCCTGTCACCGTCGAGGTGTGGAGTGGCCTTCAGCAGGTGGTTGACAAAGGACCACAAGTATTTTTTACACGCTTTTATTTAACTCTGTTGTTGTTGTCGTATCCTCAAATCTTGTAACTCAATTTTAACCCACTTCCCAATGTGGTATCGACTGCAAACTTGGTATACTTATGTCATACTGATGACATTACTATATTCTATTATAAAAAATATAAAATATATATTTTTAAACATTCTTTTTTATATGTTATCTTTCGGCTTGGGTCTAATTGTCCACGGTCAACTGACATTGGCTGTAAATGACCACAGTCCCTTACGTTCTGGCAAGCCTCGGGGCCACTTCCTGGAGTCGTGGAGTTCTTCCATTACTAGTACGGTACATTTCATTAAAGCGTGTTTTTAAAAAAGTTTTTTCAAATATTACTTTTCATATATATACACAAACCTGGCAATGACATCATGCCACTCAATGTGGTCGCACCACCACCAACATTTAGTGTTGCGTCAATAACATAAACCCAACCCCACTCACTTTTTCCAGGAGATTAGTTTGTGAACAACAAACAAGTTTTAAGTTTTCCAAACCGCCAAATGAAGAACCCTCATTGTGGCTATATTACTTTGTAATGATAATTTACAGGCCTTTGTCAATCCACTGCGAAGTGAACCTCAGGACTGGTTCAGACGTCACTCGCCACTGATGTTAACCTCGGTTAGGAATCAAACTGCCAGGTTCATAGAGCAATGCACTAACTACTGCGCCACCCCGTTACATCAATTACTATAAATCATATTGAAACTACATACAGTACTGTGTAGGTATTGTAACAATAAACCCCAATTTCCTGCACAGCATGGGTAGGCCCTAATCCAGTGGTTAATTGACACAAGGATGCTGTAGCAACGTGTCTGTCCATAACTTTAAAGTTTGTTTACCCATTACTAAAGCTTCACTTTTGTGTGAGGAAACCCAGGACACAGCTTTTGTTTAGCGGGTTACGTCCTTTTTTAATCCCACCACGGGCAGCTTAGTCAGGCTATCGACCGCGGTCTTGTTGCCGGTAAAGCCGGTTCTATCGTCGGTAGAGCCGCTGACGGCGGTTGTGCCGTGGCGTTCCTCTGCCCTCCGGCGCGGGTCTCCAGGTTTGGGCGTGTGGCCGATAGCCCCGACAAGGTGCGTCTCTACACGGTGCACATCCCGCACAAGCGCGAGCGCCGCCCCCCGCCCTGCTACATCACCAAGTGGGAAGGGCAGAGCTTCCTGCCGCTCCTCACCGCGCCCTGCGGCACCGAGGTCGTGTCCACCTTCACCGTCAGGTACCAGTACCGGAGGTTCGGGCCGAAGGGCACAGACGCACCAACGCTCAGAAACGTGCGAGGAGGCTGAGGGTAAAAGCCAGGCTCGCAGACGCCTGGACACACGTGTGGACACACATGTAGCTGTTCGTTGATGTATTGATTAAGATGTTATTTTTTACACTCGCAATGCATGCATTGAATTGTCAGACAGGTAGACAAAGCCCTTGTTGTAAAAGCAGATACAAGCCTATTGCCTTGGACCAAATCATACAGAATGTGACCAGTCGTCACAGATCAATATAGTTTTTTTGGGATATAAAGAACATTGCACGTAGGTAATGGAGCAAATAAAATGATAATAAAAATGTGACAAAGGTGCTCGATTGAATTTAAATCATCATAAAATAAAATATATTCAGAGAAAGGTTGATAAACTGTAAACTATTTTTATTTTACCAGGTAAGACCCACAGCCATACAGCTCTTTTTCAAAAGTGACCTGGCCACAAATGACAGCTCAACGAAGTGGAAATCTATAGCAGCCAAATACTCTAAACGCATGTTTCTAAATGTGAAGGGAAAAACCAGAGGAGTTGGGATTGAACCCACGATCTCCTCCATATCAGGCGAGGTAGTTAACATCTCGCCACCGTGGCATTTTTTAGGTGCCTGTCTGCTTCCTAAAACGAGCCTGGGTAGGCTGCTCGTGCGAGTTCTGTTCGTGAGCAGGCACGCAACGGGGGGTGGTGAAGCCGGCACTGTTCATAGGGATGTGATTAGATTTTGTATTAAATGGAAATGAAGACGTGAATTCACCGTGGCTGCTGCTGTTACCCTAAGTACACCCGCCTGTGGTCTGTGTGCAGCGAGTCGGGCACGTTCCTCGGACTGGGCACAGTGACGGGTTCCGTGGCCATCTACATTGCTTTCTCCCTGCAGGTGAGTCATTCATAACCGGAGCGCACACCAGCCCCCCCCCCCCCCACTCACCTTCAGTAAAGATAGCAATAAGAATGCTCTTTAATAACCCAGCCTCAATACATTTCGAGATAATTTTTGAATAGGGATCTGCATTGGGATGTTTGGTTAATTCCACGAATGAATGTTTGGCACTGAGGAAGAACTCACAGCAAGCGGAGAGAGATACCCATCCAGACGAGGAGATAATGTGGATTGAAGAATGCAGCACGATACGTTGCCGCCTTCTCTTGGCTGTCTCGCGTCGATCTGGACTCTAATCTCCGGCCCATCTTTACACACCAGCCTCTCGCCTGCAACTATGTATTTGTGGTTGATTGGATCCAGCAGAATTGTCACACATTCCTGGAAACCAAACTAAGGTGCATTTTCGAGGATTCTGTATTGGATGGATTGTTATATCCACATAACGGATGAGGCTAGTAGTTTAAGTAAAAAAATCACATACACCGAATGCTGTTTATAAACCAGTCAAATCATGTTGTCACCTACCAACTAATATTCATATTAAAGCCTGCGCCGCAAATTTACTTAGAAGATAGACAAAGATATACGCATCGCACGAACATCATCATCACCCGCAACATCATCTTCATCGACGAATACCGCCGTGACTGAGCCAGCGCGTGTCTGTGCGTATCGTGGTGGCGGGGGCGGGGCGGGGGGAGCACCACGCTGAGCACGCATTTGCCTCGCATGTGTCGAGCAGCAGGCGTACTACGTGCGCGAGACGCACGGCATCGTGGTGACGGAGCTGGCGTTTGTGGGCGACAAGGCGGGCAGGGGCGTGGCGCTGCGCGGAAGCAACGACGCTGCCATGCTGAGCGTCGGCGTGGACAGCCGCTGCAAGCTGCACATGCTGCCTCGACGCAGTGAGTGCCGGGGGAGGCGGGGATGGGGGCAGCAGCACGAAAGGGACGTAGGGGCACGGGTGGAGGAGGGGGGGGGCCTCCAGGGACCAGGACCACGATCGGTCTCTCAGTTTCTAAGACAGTGGGTGTGCAATGAAGCATCGATTCATCAATGATTTTGTATCGGGTGGAGTGGTGGTGCGATGGTGAGAGCACTGCATGATGAACCTGGCAGACCTGGCACGATGAACCCCGCACCTCCGATTAGCACGGTTGGCTACGTACGGTGCGAACTAAGTTCTACATACACGCGGCAAGTAAGAGTTCCGTTGTTGACCACAGCCAACATCAGTGGCAAGTTACACATGAAATGGGCCTGATTACCTTCCCTTCTTTACAAATCCACACCTACCAGTGTGACGGGTCAAGCAACCCCCGTGATCAACATTTTATGGGGAGACCTTCATATAGGAATGGACTGACAAAGGGGAGTTAATTTATTTGAATAATTACCGTAAATATTGCGTGTTGTATGGACTGTGAGTGATTCACTTGACTTGTGTGGCTACCAGAGGCGCAACATTCACCACAGCAGAAGTTAACTGATTCCTGAAGAGAATCACAAACCCGAATTGTGAATGTGCATGCAATGATGAAGGTCGTATCATTTTGCAGCCACTGCCCTTGGAGTCATCACTTAATTGTAATATTTTATATGAGAACCAGCTCCAGCTTGCTCCAAGACTTATCTTGAAATGTATCCATTGTACGATTAACTTTGCATCATTGTTCATGAATCTCTTGCGCGGTCTGCACTGTGGGATCGGTGGCTGGTCGTCTCACTGAGCCGTGTGACCGTGTGCTGTGTCTCAGCCATGCTGCCGGTGTGGCTGGTGCTGCTGTGCTGTGCCGGCCTGCTGGTGCTCACCATAATGCTCATCCAGCACTTCTTCCCGGGCTTCCTGTAACATCCGGCAGCACCGCAAGCCCCTCTCCTCTCATCATCCCCGCCACAACCCCCCGCATCCGACACCACCTCCCGCTACACACGGATGCAGAGATACGTACACACCATGGCGACGTGGGCACACGGACGTGGAACAATGCCGATGCACCATCGGGCAGCAGCAGCAGCCAGGTGGCGGAGGATGTCTTAACCGAACCCCACGGATACTCGGACACGGGGTCACGCGGACACGGGGTCACGCGGACACCCGTACGAAACGTGGCTGCTTGAAACGCGCAGCTGCCAACGGAAAACAAACGTTCTCACGCGCTGACCCATCTCACGCGCTGACCCATCTCGCGCGCTGACCCATCTCACGTGCTGACCCATCTCACGTGCTGACCCATCGCAGCCGCGTGGACGCACAGCGAAGCGTCGGTGTAAGCACACACACGCAGGCGCAGCTTGTCTGCGGCAGAATCTCTGGGCGATTCGCGTTGGTTTCCTACGGCGCTCTGTATGGAGCCTTTCTGAGAGAAATCGCCCAAATGTGGTGCGCTCTCGGCATTGTGCGGCGGGTGGCGGTGGCTGTCGCGGTCGAACCGGGGGGCCCTATGTGGCACAGACGGCGGCCCGACTCAGTTTGGCAGCTTCGCCGATTCGCACTAGCACAGGCCGGAGAGCCACCCTGGATACAGGGTGCGAGTAAAACCCACCTTTACAAGACTCCGAATTCAGGAAAAGATATGTAAACATTCTAAGTGAAAAAAATGCAATCTTTTGATTACGGATAATTGTGTTGTGAGCGGTGAAATTTTACCAGCGCACCGTCTGGCGGCTGAATTTTACGATCATAATTCTAATGGGGAATTCACAAGCCAGGTCTCAGTGCCCAACTTCTCAAACCACTTTAACACATAGGCTTTCGCGACCAATATCCATAAGAGATTTTTTGGGGTTAGATTTCGTAAATATAAAGGTGTCGTTAAACCCGCCACCACCCTCCACAGCTAATTAGTAAGGATTGTGTTGGGTGGTGGTGGTAGTTTGACCGACACGTTTATATTTACGCGATCTAACTCAAAAACCTCTTATGGATTCCCAAACCACGTTGGCAGATTGCTGCCACGATCCAAACATTTCCAGTAATTAGCGCCTTGTTTGCTCTCATCGCACGACACTGGGCGGGCTGCGTGTTATGAGAGAGGCATCTTGCCTCTGTCAAGTTGTTGTTTTTGTAGTTCTGAGCCTTACAATTCGAAGAAACTCCTCCACGGCGGAGTGGACATGTGACTAACGTGCACCCTTCCCAGCGCACAATCGTAGAGGGTGTCCGTAAGTAAAACGTGTCGAGGGGTTCGCCGGTTCGAAGCGCAGCTTGTGCACTTTAACACCTAGTGTGGCTGTAAAGGGCCAACTTGATATTGGCTGCAATTGGCGTTAAGTGTCGTCGCCAGACTTGTGGAGTTGTGTTTGCAGCAACACACCGGATTGTTTACAGACGCTTGCTGCTCTGGGACGGGAACCCCGCGGGTGATAGCAAGTGCCGTTCGAGTGTGGCTTCTGTGACCAAGAACCCTCACGCGAGGACTATTGAGTGTATTGGTGACAATTATCGACGGTATTTGCATGTTCATAGCTGTTAGGTTCATGATGGGGGCAGTCGAGAAAACAATGGGAATCTTTAAATAATGGCGTTATTCTTATTCCTTGCATGGTAAGAGTATTGAAAACTTCGCGATTACTTTTAACCGCCTGATTCTTACATTTTGACTGCCCTCTCGTGTTTCCCAATGCTGGCGCAGGTGGAGAGCACAGATCCGGGAGCGTAGAAGTATAGTACAACAACGGAATTCGCTCCACTTTCATAGCTTTGTCAATTCAAATTCTATTCTGAAGTCAAGTGGAATGATCAAGTGGAATGATGCACATTTGAAGTGTTAGCGCTTAAAATGCCCAACCCTTGCTCCAGTACCTGTGCCGCTTGAGCTGAGCCAACGTAGCGGATCACCCCTCAAAGGGGGGGGGGGGGGGGGTCGGGGGTGGGGGGTGTGATTGTGGGGGGGGGGGGGGCAGCTCCCAGTATCAACATTCGTCACAAGGGGGCGCGTGCGCGCGTCCTTAGCGTGCCCTGTGGGTTCACTTTTTCTTGAGGGTTTCGGCGCGAGTGGTAGAATCCCTGGGCAGAGCACAGCAGGCGATGCCACTGCACCAGGGGGCCGCAGGCTGCGGGTCACGAAGAGATGGAGAGGATTGGGCTACGGGGGCTTTCCTTCTAATTCCACGCACCAGGTTTCCCCGAGCCAAACCGCGCTACGACCCCCTGGATATCCCCTCTCGCGTTATTGGTTTTTTTGCGTGGAGTTCTCGTTACGCAGTCGCGTCTCCCCCGAATGGTAATGAGGACTTTCCATTCCACGTTTGCGGGAGCACAATTGTGTTGCTAGCGCTCCTATAGTTCCTATAGTTCCTATAGTTCCTATAGTTCCTATAGCCCCTATAGTTCCTATAGTTCCTATAGTTCCTATAGCCCCTATAGTTCCTATAGTTCCTATAGTTCCTATAGCCCCTATAGTTCCTATAGTTCCTATAGCTCCTATAGTTCCTATAGCCCCTATAGTTCCTATAGTTCCTATAGTTCCTATAGCCCCTATAGTTCCTATAGCTCCTATAGTTCCTATAGCCCCTATAGTTCCTATAGTTCCTATAGTTCCTATAGCCCCTATAGTTCCTATAGTTCCTATAGTTCCTATAGTTCCTATAGCCCCTATAGTTCCTATAGTTCCTATAGCCCCTATAGTTCCTATAGTTACGACCCTCCGGTTTTCTCCAACGTCGTTCACAGCTAGGTCACTGCTCCTCACCTTTGACCCCTGACCGCAGCTAAATGGTCTCTGAACCCCCGTGACCTCCCCCCCCCCCCCCCCCCATTGTCCCTCGTCCCATTTATCACAGATAACCACATTCCTACTAACGCCCCCTCCGCCCCTCCCCCAAATCTCCAAGAATTCCACGCACCTGCGGGGAGCGTCTGTAGTCATATTTTGCCGAGACCCCTTTGTGCAATGCACACACAAGCGGCACACGCTGCTGCCAGCTGAGCCACAAATTGATTGCAGGTGTTGCTAACCCCGCAGACACGTGCGCGTGGATGACAGACCCATTGTCGGTGTTTGACAGATGTCTGCAGATGTGAAATGCCCCGAGGTGGTTGGTGTCTCAGGGGGCTAAAGTTGTGTCTTGACAGAACACTGAGCCAGCACTTTTGAGAAGGCTTGGTTCAATCACTGGTCAATTGGGTCGAGGTAAGATCCAGTGGAGTGGAATGTGGTTATTCTGTCTCAATCGTGCCTGCCACAACCGCACAAAGAAAACGAGAGTGGAGTTTTGATTTAAAGCTTTCGTGACTGCAGGGATTCATATTCTTGGTTCTTTCGGTAAAGTCACGTAGAAGGGAAATAATAAAATAATATAAATAACAATTATTGTTTTATAGAAGGGAAATAATAAAATAATATTAATAACAATTATTGTTTTATATTTATATTATTTATTATTTCACTTCTACGTGACTTTACCAAAATAACCGAGAATAAGAGTGGAGTTTGTTTCTTTGCACAATGTCACGTGGCCCATCTTTGTTTAATCTGTAGATATTCACGAGATGAACAGTTGGCCACTTGCCTGCCTCCAGATGACAGCTCAGTCTCGCGGTATCGTAGGACAGAGCCGTGAACGATAATTGGAAGCCTGGGAAGCTGTTTCCAGGTTGTTGCAACATGTGACGTTTGGCTCTGTCTGTCGGGAGCTCTAGAATGTATAAAACACTTCACGGTGTCTAAGTTGTGCGAGTACTTTTGGAATGTAATCATGTTTATCGCAGCCTGTTTGTCAATCCGCCGCTGAACGAAGGCCCCTCCCCATGACGTATCGGTCGCGACCGTTGTCTTATCATGCTTCGCCGCGCTGGTGTGTAGGTCCGTGAAAAGAAATGCAGATGAGGGTAATCGTCTTGCTCGAGTTTCCAGAGGGTCATGTTTATGTCAAATGTGGCTAGGGACCAACCATGACTCGCACTGCACTCCCAGTCCACTTGGGTTCAGTCCAACTCCGCCTCCTCCCGTGAGGGCACCTGCAAGTCAATTAGACCCCAACTCATTGAGCCACATTTAAAGTCTTACACTATTTATGTGCGTTTGCGTCTTCTGTATGTATTAAAAAATATAATGCGTAAAGGCAATTTAACTGAATTTTAACGATTCCACGGAATGAATGGGTCTAATTACGGCCCGATAGTGATGGTAGACCACTTTGCGTGGTGTTAAAATTGTAAAAAATAAAAAAGTAGTTGTGTAGGCCCTCTGCCGCAGAATACATCTCATCAATAAAGTCGTGATTCTTTACACTCGGGTCGTGGCCTTCCTGTCTCTTCAAACCGATGTCGTTCGACTGCCGATTTAATTTGGGCATTCTCATGGCATAATTGCATCAGAGCCGATTTGTTAAAATAAAAAAAACCAAAGTTGAAAGTCGAGCGAATGCTTCAAATTGTGCACGCATCGTTGCCAAATATTCACGTCTCTCAGAATTCTTGAAAGAACCCACGTAAAAAACAACAACAACAGGGCATGCATGTTCATAGTTATCTTATTTTTAAATCCTCTATATTAAGTTCGCTTGCTTGCGTGCTTGCTTACGACCGTGCAAATCTTTTGGTCGTTTTTTAACTCACTTCCCGTGATCCAATCGAGCTGACATTTTCCACACAGACTCGTTGTGTGTGACAATTAATTTTCGTGAAAAATTTTTTCCAAAATGTTACACTTTTTAGGAAAAAAAAAAGATATTTATTACCAATTTCTTAATGGTGGCAGGCAATCATCTGACCCATAGGTGGCAGCCATCTCAAGCCAGAGGACGAGAGGACTCTAGCCGCCACGCATATAAAGGATTTATAGTGAAAAACTTTGTTTTTACGGGTTAATTTTTTAGCCATGTACTATGCAGGTACAGCCTTTTATTTATCCACTGCTGGATCAAGGCCTAGCCCACGCCGTGTCGGTCATGGGGGTCGATTGACCATGCTTCACCAGTACGCGTTGGTGAAGGGGGCACCCACCAGCCTAAAGACTGAAGATGAGGCTGTTATTCATGGAAAGGCAATTCAGGTGGAGGCCAGTTTCACTGTCGTTGGGGAGCACTAGTGCTATATCATTAACTATGCCCGTGCTACAATTGTCCCTATTGCTGTTGTACCGCCCACTTGTTTTTCTGCCATGAAACTGACTGAAGAAAAAAATATCTCATCGTATTGTACAAGAGGCCAAATCAAGTTTCCTATTTAGTTGCTGCGGCATTTTCTTTGGGTACCTTAAAAACTCGGGCACCGATTCAAGGCAGGCACCTGTGAATGTCCCCACGGCTACGAAAACGACGCGGTGATTCATACCGAGCGGAGAGTGGCGCTGAAGAAGAAGTCCAATCGGTGGGGCCTCGCCTGATCTGGCTACCTCTAAGTTCTAAATTTGAAGCTTTCGTGACTGCAATGATTCATACTCTTAGGGTTTTTCGGTAAAGTCACGTAGGAAAAAAATAAATAAAATAATATTTTATTTCTATTGTATTTATATTATTTTTGCTATTTTATTATTATTTATTTTTTACTTACGTGACTTTACCGAAAAACCCTAAGAGTACCTCTAAGTTGACTCGGCCTAAATTACCATTCTCGGTTGTTTTGCGAGCATTAGCACCGGGGAGACAAAGGCGGGCAGGCTTAAAGTTTTGACCTCCCTGCGTCATGCGTCGCTTACTTTCCCGGCCTTCGTAGGTGCTCGCTATCAGCACTTGGTCTGAGTAGTAATGCTATATGGGGGATTTTTTTATGTTTGTGCCATGTAAATCTGTGTGCCCGGGTGTGTATGTGTATGTGCCCGTGTGTGTGCGTGTGTTATGTGCGTGTGTTGAGCAGTTGTGGGGGTGCGGTAGCGTTCCGGTTAGTGCGTTGCGCTCCGAGCCTGGTGAGCCGAGTTCAATTCCCGCTCGTGGCCAACACCAGTGACGATTATTTTAACTGGTCCTAGGCCTCCCCTAGGTCGACTCGGCCTCAAATGAGTAGCTGGTGCGGTGTGTAAAAACATCGCCACTGGGGAGACAAAGGCGGCCAGGCGTAGTGCTGGCCACCCACCCCCTCGTGTACCGTACCGGCCTTCATAGGTGCTCGCTAACAGCACTTGCCCCAACAGTCTGTTCAGGCTACACGGGTGGGGGGGGATCGTCATCTTTGTGGTGAGCTGTCGCTTGTGGCCGCGTCGTGGCGAGCATCCTGCGTTACGAACATCTTGATTTGAAGCTTTTGTGACTGCAGGAATCCATACTCTTTGATTCTTTCGGTAAAATCACGTAGGTATAAAATAAAAAACAGTCTGCCTCAGCAGCAGACCACGCTATCCTACCTGACGATGGACGCTTGTGTTGCGCCCGAAACGTCGTGATTTATTGTATTTTCTACCTACGTGACTTTACCGAAAGAACCAAAGAGTATTGGGAGCTGGACATCTTGTGTCGATCCCCGCTCATGGCTAACACCGGTGACAAACTTCTGGACCATTCCTCGGCCTAAAACGAGAACCCGATTTGCGTGTATTAAAAACATAATCTCTGGGACCACAAAGTCGGAAGGTTCGTGGCCGCGCCGTCCCTTTGTGTGCGCAAATCCCAGCTTAAACAGATGCGCGCTCACGGCGCTTGTCCCAACAGTCTGTTGGCGGATCCATGGGGGGGGGGGGGGGTGGATCTTTTGTTCTTGTTGTATGTGTGTGCCCAGGTGTGTATGTAACTAAAACGACGTGGAGTGTGCCCAGGTGCACGCTTGAATGTGTGTCAGTGTGTCGGGGTGTGTGTGCCTTGCACGCGCGCGGTGCCTGTGACCGCACAATTACACACAACAGCTTTTTTGGGGGAAGTCTTCTGAAGTTTCTCTCCAAACTTTTACTCTCCCCAACCCCTCCCACCACCCCCCCCCCCCCGGGCTCTCCGTTGTTGACAATCACAAAAAAAGTGCTGGCAGGTGCGTGGCGCACACGCGTACAGGTGTGTGTGTGTGAGCAGGTGTATGGGGCATGTGTGTTAACAGTGTGTGTGGTTGTATGAGTGTATGTTATGTGTGTGTATGCAGGTGTATGGGGCGTGTGTGTTAACAGTGTGTGTGGTTGTATGAGTGTATGTTATGTGTGTGTATGCAGGTGTATGGGGCGTGTGTGTTAACAGTGTGTGTGGTTGTATGAGTATGTTATGTGTGTGTATGCAGGTGTATGGGGCGTGTGTGTTAACAGTGTGTGTGGTTGTATGAGTGTATGTTATGTGTGTGTGTATGAGGCGTGTGTGTTAGTAATTGTGGTTGTATGAGTGTATGTTACGTGCGTGTGTGTGTTGTATGTGCACAATACACGCATGGCGGTTAGCGCGCTGCGCTGCGGTGAGCCGAGTTCAATTCCCGCTCATGGCCAACACCAGTGACGATTACCTGAATTGGTCCTGGGCCTCCCCTAGGTTAACTCAGCCTCAAATGGGTACCTGGTGTGGTGTGTAAACATCGTCACTCGGGAGACAAAGGCGGCCGGGCGTGGTGCTGGCCACCCACCCCCTCGTGTGCCGTGCCGGCCTTCATAGGTGCTCGCTTACAGCACTTGCCCCTACAGTCTGTTAAGGCTACACGGGGTATTTTTCTCTTTGTGTATGAACCTGGAGCATGCTACTAATAGATAGGGCCTTACCATCAGCCCCATAAAAATGAAGCACCTGCCTGGGTATATTATGTCATCAAATTGTCCCATCCATCCACTCCCCATGAGTGATGGGGCAGTTGTGGAGAGAGTGGAGAAGTGTCTGCACTTGGGCAGTGTGATTATGACCAGCTCCGGTTTGGCAGCCGAGGTCACACTCTGAATCAGTCGAGCGGCATTATATTTTCATCAGCTGCATAACGCTGTGTAAATTGTTACCTGGCCTGTCGCTCCGTACAAAGCTCCCGGTATTCTCGGCCACCGTTATGCCCTTCCTTCTCTATGCTTGTGAGACATGGATCCCTACAAAGTAATATCTGCGCCGACTAGCCTGCCTACGATTGATCCTAGGTTTAACCAGACTGGATTGTATGAGGAACTCACAGATCCTTGAAAGATCTGCATAAGTGAGTTCCTCTGGCAAGTGAGGCTGCGTTGGCTGGCTCATGTCGACAGCATGCCCAGACACCGCATGCCCAAGCAGCTTCTGTTTGGCCGTATAGATGGGGCTAAACGGGCGCGGTACAGAAGGATGTGGAGCTGATTGGACTTGCCGATAACTGGTAACAGCTGTGTCAATATCGGCCTCTGTGGAGGAGGTTCGTGAAGGACGCTGCTGGGGAGTTGGATGCAATCGCTCTCCAACGGAGGGCAGAGGAGCGACGCTCACAACAACGAGCAGAGCACCGGGCGACTAAAACGCATAAAGTTGATACGGTGGAGAACACGGTTGGTGCATCTGTCAGTCGTCTCAGTCAACCTATGGCACCTGGATTTGTTCCGTGACCTCCTGCCAGTGGGCCTTGGACACTTCATGTGCCTTCAAAGTGCACCTAGCATGGCACAAGCGCCGTGGTGACGTCACTGCCACTTAGTGTTGAACGGCGGTGGTTGTGGTGAGCGGTGCTGTAGCGGGCAGCGTGACGCGCTACAAACCCGGACAGCCTGATTTGAATTCCTGACCACTAGGATCGGTGGCGAATATCTGAACCGGCTCTGGACCTCACCTAGGTCAAGTGAGCCTTGAATGAGAACCTGATGCAGTGGATATAAAATAGAATAATTGATGAGACGAAGGCGACCAGATGTGGTGCTAGCCACACGGACCTCTCGTTTGCCGGGACGCCCTTAAAAGCTGTCCTGCTCACCGCACTTTCCGCAGCAGTCTAAACTAAAAACTACTAAACTATTTTTTATTTTGCCAGTCAGGGCCCAAGAGCTATGCAGATCTTTTTCAAAAGCGACCTGGCCACAAATGATAGCTCAACAAAGTGACTTAGCACGTGGCAATTATTTGCAGCCAAATGTACTCCAAACGCACGTTTCTAAATGTGGAGGGGGAAACCGGAGGAACCGGAGAAAAATCCACGCGACCACAAGGAGAGAGAGACACCACAATCTCTAAATATACAGCCAGCGTCAGGGTCGGGGTCGGGATCGAACCCACAACCTCCCTTATACCAGGCGAGGCAGTTAACATCTCACCACTCTGATCCGCCTGCAACATTTGCCCTAGGTGCGCGCACTCTGCTGAGTTTTTGTTGTTATGACTCTCCGGCAATTATTTTGTCGAGGCAACCTCGTTAAACTCCTCAAGCGCAGCAACATTCGGGGTGACCCG